GACTATACATAATATTAATAATATATCATATTTTACGCAAAATTGTAAAATTTCCAGCGATTTTGTGCCTAAACGGTTGACTTTAGCCAACATTTTTATAGAACCTTTTTTATAGGAAATTTTATTCTCTTTAATTCTGCTCTCCTCAAATTTTCGTGATAAACGCATAGTTTTCGAGATATTCACAAAATACCGATTTTGGGCGCCATCTTGGCAAGATGGCGGCGCCGGCGGCAAGTCTGGAAATGTGCATTTCATGGATTTTAGTTAGGTTGCACCCCAAAACCTATAACCCTCCAAAGTTGCAAAACTTCCGAACTTTTTTCCAAGCAAAAATCCCCAATGACTGAACTACAGGTCATGTTGGCCTAGAGGGAAATGAACGTGCCGACTCCGTCGTTAAAACGGGTGATAGTGACAGTTATTTTGTGTTATCTAAATTCAAATCCAAATTGATTTTATTGTGTTATTTTTTGAATGTAGCCTACCAAAATCACCTGTTGTCTTGTTCATTTAATTTTCGATAGGTATACCTATTGATACCGACTAAAGACTTCCTGACATTTAAATCTAAATGCCAAGTTCCACACGTGACAATCTATAGGTATTCTATAGATTGGCTCTTGTAGATTACCGTGTGATCAGGTGGCTTTAGGGGATATACAGGGTTGCTGATATGTATGGGAACAGTCGGTTATTAGGTAAAATATAAGAGGTGCAGCACAAAGTTTAATATAAAAGTTATAGGGTTTATAAATGTCTATTAGCGAGTAATAAATTTAAGTCGTGGGACATCAAAATTTTATTTTTTTAAATGGAACCCCTGTATATTATTGCATATTTCGGTTCTTCCTTCAATTCTAAGCAAAAATCGAGATACACACAGATCAAACCAACCATTTTCGAGTTATTGGCTTTAAAAAATATCACTTAAACATATTGATCTAATTAATTTCGATGTGTTTGGTTTCAAATGAAAATACGGTACCATTCTGCGAAAACTGTGATTCTTAATAATAATATTTGACATTAGTTTTCATGTTAGCATTTATAGATGTATAAAATGAGATTATCTCAAGTCTAGAAAATACAAAATTTTCGTTTTTTCGTTTAACATTTCAAAATCAACTTCATAATTCGGCAATAATTGTTGAATTTAGGTACATAATCGTAATACACATACGTAATGTACCTAAATTCAACAATTTCCGAATTATGAAATTTTGATTTTGAAATCTTAAACGAAAATTTTGTAATATGATATAGTCTCATTTTATACATCTATAAATGATAACATGAAAACTAATATCAAATATTATTAAGTATCGCAGTTTCCGCAGAATGGCATCGTTAAATGAAACCAAACACATCGAAATTAATGAAATCAAATTGTTTAAGTGATATTTTTAAAAGTCAATAACTCGGAAACGGTTGGTTTGAGGTACATTGTGTGTACTTCGATTTTTGCTTAGAATTAAAGGAGGAATCAAAATTTGCAATAATATACAGGGGGTTCCATTTAAAAAAATGAAATTTTGATGTTCCACGACTTTATAAAAGACCCTGTATACTTAAATTTATTACTCGCTAATAGATATTTAAAAATCCTATAACTTTTGTATTAAACTTTTTGCTGTACCTCCTTTATTTTACCTAATAATCGACTGTTCCCATACATATCAGCTTCATATCAGCGACCCTGTATGTTTGTCTCTTGATAAATTTTTGACAATTGCAGTTGTTTTTTGTTATTTGAATTCAAAGGTAATTTTTCAAAGATAATTGTTTTACCTAATAATCGACTGTTCCCATACATATCAGCGACCCTGTATGTTTGTCTCTTGATAAATTTTTGACAGTTGCAGTTGTTTTTTGTTATTTGAATTCAAAGGTAATTTTTCAAAGATAATTGTTTTTCCTGTCATTTTTTGAATGTAAGCCTCCTCGAAATCGTCTCGTGATTTGTTTGTCCCATTTTTGATAGATTCTTGATTTATGTAATATCAGCTTTGACATGTGACAATATGAGCAAGGTCCCTGCAGATTGGTCCCTGTGGATTGCCATGTGAGTAGGCAGGCGGCTTTATACGAAACTCAAACATAAAAACTCAATAAAAACACGATAAAACAAAAATACGCATAGTTCCAAACTATGCCCGCCTCAATTCGATCAACCGAAACTAGTTAATCGGCATGTTTTTCGAATTTCGCGTGTGTGTGGCCGAGAAAAATCGATAAATCGAGTTTTATTTATTTTTCGGAAAGAAAGGCGTACGGAAAAATCTATAAACATCGGTCAGTTACATCATAACTAAATCTAATAGACGGGAAAATGCGCAGCACATGGCCCGCATTCGTCGATTAGTAGCCAAAACTTTTAAACGCGCACTGTCAATTCCGTACGAAAATCCATCTCACTACAGTTAAAACCGATAATTTTTATCCGTCAGGTTTTTTATTTTTCACATTGGAACGAAAATATTCATTAAATCCAGTAAAATCGTTTTTTTCGGGAGTTTCTATATATAATTCAAAATATTTAAAAAAATATACATTGTGAATGCGTGGTAGTGTTCAGTGTTTCCGAATAAATCTCTATCTGTTTAATAAATTAGTTTTTGTGAAGAACCATTTGAATGAGTGCCAAACCTAAAAAACAACTCAACTAAAATGTTCCTGGGTGGAGAAATATCGAGTGTGAACAGCAAAAAGGAACAGTACTTCGATAAAACTGAAAATACAACGTATTCTAGACGTATTGAAACAAGGGAAGAAAAAGTTTACAAGAATTATAGCAACAAATACAGCCATAACGAATCCAGTACCTTTAAATCGAATGGATATTCCAACGGATACGTGAATGGATCTGGAAGCATCAAATCGAATGGATACTCGGATAGCGATAATGGATATGATATAAATCATAGAAATGAGCCGGCTAAAACAAAGACGGATAAGCCAAAAAAAGAAAAACATGTGCACTTTGAAGTACGTGGCGTTAAAAATAAGAGTTTTATTTTCGTAGGCGTTTAATTATAAATAAATACGCATCATGTTTTATTGTTTGTTAGGATTTTGCGCGAGTATTTAAATTAATTGATATATTTCTCGGTCTTAGTGCTAAAAATACATAATACAATGAAGACATTTTAGAAATAATTTTAGCTGTTATTGTAATGAAATAACATAATTTCTATTACCGAAATATATTAACTCCTTTTATAAAATATCTTTATCTTAAAAAAGTTATATCCAAAGTAAAATATATTTTTCATTTGAGTTGAGTTCGTTTTCTATTTTAGTTCTTTTTATATTAATTTTATCTATTAAAAATATTATATTACACTACGTAATTACTAAAAATTTATCTATGATAAAGAAAATCACTAGAATTTATTATTCGTACATATTTATACCATACGATCGAAAAAAACGGCGTTATCGATGGCTATGAAATGAAGATCGCTGTCATTTTATATGGAAAATTATATAGGGAATGTCATCGATCGTCATTTTCAAGCCAACTGGACGCCGTCTTTTTCGTTCATACGGTAGTTATTATGCAGATAAAGCATGAATGCATAAAAAATAACTGCCTTTTAAAACAATACATAGGGTGCAATCTTTATAAAAGTATTTTTAATTTTAATGTTAAAAATAACATTTAAGTTTCGTTTTCAGTCATTTATTTCTTTTTTTTAAGAAGCTTAAATACATTATTTATATAAATATTTATAATAATTGATTAAACTTTATAATAGCGTAACAGAAGATAGCGCAACAGAAAATTAATTAAAAAATTACAAGATGTTCACAATTTTGAATGAACCTCAATTTTTATATTTTTTTATTATGTTTTATGATAAAAATAAAAGACAATCTTGTATAAAATTGTCTCATAATACAGCATATTGGAAATATTTGCTTGTTAACTTTTAACTAATTTACGACAATACACTAAACCACTTTTCGTGTAGTTTGCGGTACATATAGTAAAGTGTCTTGGTGTATTGTGGTGAATTAAGCTTCATTCAGAATCCCAAAATTAGTGAAATAAATCAATGGTTTCAGTTAACGTAGAAGTTTGTTTCTTTAATAATCATGTAAGCATTCACAACGTTAAAATTAGTGGTAGGAATCTTCAATTAGTGGAAAAAGTTAACAAACCTCTAACTTTTAACTTTTCCACTAATTATACTTTAAAAGTTGCGAGGAATGTCATTTTGGCCTTTGATTATCATCCGTCAAGACAAATTGTGGTTAGAAATCAAAAGTTTGTTGTTTTATAAGCTAAATATTAGGTTTTTTCTATGGATACAACTGACTACCGCAAGCTGTTGCTAGGATATTCTATTCATTTTAATTATTGTGTTTTTTAGACATTGTGAATAATCGAAAACTAAAAAGTATAAAGTGTAATTGAAACCACTAATTTATTCCACTAATTGCAGTTCTGAACGAAGCTTTAGTGTTTATTTCGCTATTGTGACACCAAAGATTCCATGCCTAACTGTAACTTTTAACATGAAAATTTCCAAAATTTTTAAAACCATAATCATGTTTGTATTATTTATACAGTATTCTTAAAACACTTTGGATACTGCTGATGTTAACTAGTTTATCATTAGACATGTTTGATTTTTTATCTCGAAAAAAATATTCCTATTTATGTTACCATTATTTATGTTCCATTTAAATTACAAAGATGCTACCACTTTTAGTACGAAACGGCAAAACTGTAATGCTAAAAATAATTTAGACAGATAAAACAGGTGCCTTTACGTCTCATGCCATGGCCGTGAATGACACTCTATATAAAAGATACTACTACTAGTAAAACACTAGGTTTTATTTTGCAGTTGTAAAGCCAAAGGTCCCAATCTCAAATGTATTTAAAATATCTGTAAAATAGAATCGTTTTTTATTAGAATTTCAATATTTTATTTTAAATGTTGAATATTTATTTGAAAAATTCTAATGTCGTAAAATTATAATTTTAGGATGAAAATGCGCCACCACCAAAACCAATTAATTTGGAGAAAATATTCACACCCGCCGATGGAGAACAAATTCAACCAAAATCCGCAAGTGAGTATCATGTTTCCTTTCTTTAACCTTACACAAACATGTAAGAAAGCTAGTTTGATTTCCACAAAACGCTAAAACATGTTTTGATGCGATTTGCTCAAAATATACAATGTTCCACGAATCCGAACAATTATTTGAAGTCTCTATTAGAGATGAGCAAAACTGCAATCCTCCAATCGCAATTGAAATTGCGATTGCGATTTTTGAATGCAGCGACTGTAACCAGCGATTGTGATTTTAATATTTACCCAAACAAATTAATCCTAAAAAAAAACTTTTTCTAAATATGCCAATGAGCCACCCTCGTTCCATTTGCAAAATTTGAGATATGATTAAAATACGATTTGGGCATCTTTTAACTGGCCAGGACAAGACGCGAAAAACAATAGACGATGAAATCTATTTTTCCAAGGCATCTGGATTAAAATTAATGTTTTTAACACACCCATGACATTCTAGATGGAAATTTAAAATACGATTTGTTTAAGCGAAAATGTCAAAAGTTGCCATATTATATGCCATTCTATTCAGAGTGTCATTTTCTATTGAATAAATTAAAAAAAATACCGAGGGTGTCATTTAAAAATCAAAAGTTGTAGTCATTTCCGGTGAAACAGGAAGTGACTAAAAACAATTGAATACGTCAATCAATCCTAATTTATGTCATATACTAACATACCAAATCACGTTTTTTATCAGAAAAGATAAAAAAAGTTATAGGGGAAACCACACTTGAGGAACACCTGGTATATTATGATCGTGGTCCTAGAAAAATAATACTTCCTCTATAAATAAATAATATCAGAGAGAAAATCCAATCGCAGTTTACTATAAAATGCTTCAATAGACCACAAAATTACATTCGCAACAAAATCGCAAATCGTAACTCCTAAAAATTCAAACTCGCAGATAGAAAGTTGTCACGGTCCTAGTTTACAAAATCACAATCGCAGCAAAATTGCAACTCGCATTAAGATGGCAAATCGCAGCTATAGTAATACTGGTTGCCTAAATTGAAACTCGCAAATAGAAGAAATCGCAATCGCAGTTTCCTATAAGAGCCAATCGCAGGTGGCGATTGCGATTTTAAAATCGCTGCGATTTAATCGTAGTTTGCGATTTCTTGCTCATCTCTAGTCTGTATGTATTTCTTACGCTAGAAGTAAACTGACCTTGCTACTAGAAAAAGCTCCATTTTCAAGGGGACTGTACATATGGACTGTGTAAAATATATGGCGTCTCGGTGTAAATAACATAAATTTTCATACTTCAAATTAATGTAATCAAACCAATGCAACGCGGTGGTAAAACGTAATAGTTGAATTTAGAATTAAATAGATTTTGTACAGAAATATGTTATAATGTAAATAGTTTATTATTTGTAACAGGAGCTTTATATTAAAGTTTTTTATAAAGGTTCTTAAATATCAAGAATAGAATTTGAAGAACTGTTGATATTTTTCTCTATACTATTAATAAATTTATATTAAAACTTGTTTAACATTATATAAATAATATTATGTTGTTCGATTTAATCTAATCAATGCTAAAGTTGGTGCATCCATTTATGCATACAAAAATCTTATAAAATAACAATGTCAGGAAATTTATTTCGGAAATAAAAATATATGTGGAAACTTTCTTGTATTCTTCTCCATACAATGTTGAATGATATATCAGAGAATTTACAATCCATTAAATTCTTGATAAGTCTTAATTCTTCTTCTGCTAAATTTCGATTCTTGTTGCAGGGAAAATGTTTGCGTCTTCTTCCTTTTATGAAAAAGGATTCCATCCAACGGTGGAAGATCAGGTGGAGTTGGCAAAAAGAATATCAAGTTCCTTGAGCGACATCAGCAACCAAAGTAGCAAAGGACTCCAAATGTACGTCAACAGAAAGAAAAGATCGGTTAAATGGGTACACGAAGGTGAAGGTAGGTAAAATCTTTAAGCGTTTTGTAAAAAAAAAGAATTAGAAATTGCTAATTTAATATATACACAGTGTTAATATTGTATTTTGTACTTAATTTGGCAGGTTTTAAAATTACTTTTTGAGCTTAGAGATACATTAAAAACAAATTATAAGGTTATTAGTATAAAAAAGAAATAAAGTTAAAGAATATTAAAAGTGAGACAAACTAGAATGTTAACACTTTTTTCGACGTTTACACACTTAAATACTACGCTTTAGTTTAAAGCTCAATCATAATCAGGGGCGGATCCAGGATTCGAGAAAGGTGGGGGGGGGGGCTAGATACAAAACTTTACTCAAGTACATACAGTCCGACAAACGATTTGTACTCAGTAGTCGTTTCTACCATAATAAATTAATAATATTTTATTACATGATGGGAGGACTTGAGCCAAAGGTTTGAAGCCCCTCCGTGGGTCCGCCACTGATCATAATAGTGATATAAAAATATCTAATTTCGTGACTTAAATTTTGTACAGCTGCTGTTCTTTAAGTGTTAGTATTATATTTTATGGTAGAATTTATGCCGTGTAATAAAATACCTATAATATTTATGATGGCTACTTTATTATATCTGTGATTCCAGATTGTGTTCTATTTGGACAATATTAGAATATCGACAGTAGCAGTTCAGTCATAGATAAAGGAAACGCGTTTCTTTACTTATTGCTATGGTCTGTTATTTCAGTTCAATAATAAATCATTTCTTCTATCATTTTTGGATATCGTTTGTCAATTTTTTTTTCTCGATTAACACACTTTATTAAAATATTTTGAACCATTTTCTTACAAATAAGTCTAACGTTGACACGAATGGGTTAGAATTTTGTATAAAATGTAATAAGATACGTACAAATAACATTATAGCAAAGATACAGCAAGCGCCATGTTAGAAATGGTAAAATCCTTTGATGAAAGATCTATAAAAACTCACGACCGTAAAAATACCAATAAAAGTGAAAGAAAAACCGTACTAATAAATTAGATGATGTTGAATTTTTATGATCTCATAAAGTAAGAAACGCATTAAAATCGGCGGCGAAGCTTCCATTGGTGCGGGTGATGCGTCGCATCCCTTCAAAAAATTATAATAAAATTATTCAATTATTCAAAATATTGTTTTTAAAAAAGTCACTGGTCGGTGGGTGATGCAACCACAAAAACTCATCTGTTTTGTGGTATAAAATAAAAAAAAATTTCGCCGCGCGTTACGATGACCGATTCTGAGTGCGGCTGTAAAATAGAAATAATTTTGCAATCTGAAGTATTGTTTCTATGGTGTATTCAGAAAAATTAAAAAATATTGAAAAAGGACCTCCAAAGCACATTGTGAATATTAATACTAAATTAAAATCGTGTGTTCGTCATTTTAATGAGAATGTTTATAAAAGTGGACGCTGGTTATGTAAGGCACTCAATAAACTTTTTTGTTGCCCTTGTGTAGACAAGGGCAACTATTTTCCAAGGAGAAAAATGTATGGAGTACTACCGTCTACGATGATTTTTTTTTTCGATTGAATTGAAGTACTTAGTCACATTGGGTCCGAAAAGGTTTTTGTTTTATTTGGGAAAAAACAAAGAATTGAAATATCCCTAAGTATAGTGCATACAGACTTAATATTTAAATGCACAATGAGAGAGTAAAAATAAATAGACAAATTGTGGGAAACCTGAAAAACATATCTTCGGAATTCACAAAAACAAGAGAGTCTGTCAATTGTTGAACATTGAAAGTTCATTACTAGAGAGTATTCGTTCTTCTCCTGCATTTGAAGAAAATGTAAGAAATACATACTAGAAGAATAAATGATCCTAATTTTAAAATTTGTTAAAAACTGTTATATTTTTTGTATATTTTATTTTTGTAACTTCAAAATTAAAGACCTTATTATGTTGGTAAAATGTTAATTGCAGTTACTTATTACATCCTCTTGTATTGAAAATAGTATTTACATGAATGCGTTTCATGTAAATACTATATATACTAAATACTATTTATATATTATATTCTACGTTTTATGTTTGATATAACTTTTAGTTTCATATTATATCCGAATAATTGTGTGACTGTTTCTCAGGATAATTAAAGGTTGATTGAACTGTTGCAAATATTAAATTAGTTATTTCTGTTTTCTTTGAAGCAAACATTATTATACGGAAGCAGAAAAAATTGGGGTTTGGCTATTTGCCATGGAAATTAGAAATATCGACAAGGATTGGATTCAAATTTATTTCCTGCTTTTGAACATTTGTGCTAAGTATCTCAAGAAACATAATTTGCAAACAAAATATCATTACATATAATAAAGGAATAGAGATCGAAAAATCTGTACAATAAACAGATCACAAAAAATTAAGATATAGTCGAGTATTGAATTTATATTTTTATCTAATGATAAAAGATTAATGATTTGATTAATATCCCAAAATATAGTACAGCTAGAAAACTGTTTGTTGGGTTGTACGTAAGAGCATTTGCTAAAAAAACAATGAACATAATTTGATACGGTTTTCACTGATTGATTTACTCAAAATCTATTGAAAGAGCAAACATCGAATTGCAAATTTGATGGCGATAATTTTAAAACAATGTATTTCTTTAAAACAATATTAATCTCAGTAACTACTGTTTTAATCAATATATAAGAAAGCGTTGGTTGCATATATTAAGGTTACATCTCCACCGATGACTAACTTTGCAGCATTTTTAAGTTATTTTTTTTGTATAGTTATTTGGTTTCTTTACATTTTTTTAAAAAATTTAAGTTGTGCCGAAAATTTAAAAATATACATGCTATTAAGTTGTCTAATATTTACACTTATCATACACCCATTGTGCTAACTATAAGTGAAGACATTATCTGTAAACCCAGCAATGCCTGTCTAACTAATAAAAAACAGATTGGGAAAGTTTTAGATCAGCATTAGAAAAATGAATCGACTCGGCAGTCTCTCTACGAACCGAAGAATAACTGAATTTTGAAGTGGTAAAGTTAGTGAAAGACTTTCAAAATGTAGTATGGAGAAATACCCATGAAATCAAAAGAAAGCTAAAAGGTAACAATTATCCCAAAGAAATTTTGGAATTAATATCAGAAAAAAGAACAGCGAGAAAGGAATGGCATTATTTTATAGCCCCGAAAGACAAAACTAAGCCAAATAATCTGAAAATCCCACTAAGAAATTAAATTAAACAATTAAAAAACGATTAGCGAAATTCTGCGTACGTTAACAACTGATTCCAGCACAGAATATTATGGAACACTATGGAAAACTACAAAAAAATTGAAAAGATATCCAATCCTCCAATAAAAAAAAGAATGGAAGCTGGGCCAGGAACAACCAACAAAAAGCAGAAAGATTTGCGGACCACTTTGAAGAAGTATTCCAACCTAATATAGCAGAGGAAGACATTACATTTCCTCACGTTAGCGGGCAGGAAAGTGAGACAATTCCGCTTGTAACACCAGCTGAAATTAAACAAGAAATAAAAACCAATATCAATCCAAAAAAGCACCAAGTTATGACCCTATTACTGGACAAATTTTAAAAGTGCTACCAAGAAAAGCATTGGTCAAAATTTCTAATTTAATCAATGCTTCTTTTAGATTGAAATATGTACCATAATTTTGGAAAGTGTCTGAACTAATAATGATCCTTAAGCCAGGAAATCCACCTCATGAAACAACATCGTATGTACCAACATCACTATTGCCGACTGAAATTAAAAAAAAAGCTAAAAGGTAACAATTATCCAAAAAAAATGGAATTAATATCAGAAAAAAGAAGAGCGAGAAAGGTTAGGATGGCATTATTCCAGAGCCCCGAAAGACAAAAAAAACTAAGCTAAATAATCTCATAACCCAACTAAGAAATGAAATTAAACAATTAAAAAACGATTCGATTAGCGAAATTCTGCGTACGTTAACCGCTGATTTCAGCACAGAATATTCTCTACGGAAAACTGCAAAAATTTGAAAAGATATCCAAATTCCTCTAATAAAAGAAGAAAATGGAAGCTGGGCCAGGAACAATGAACAAAAAACAGAAAGATTTGCGGACCACCTTGAGGAAGTATTCCAACCAGTAGCAAATATAGCAGAGGAAGACATTACATTCCCTCACGTTAGCGGGCAGAAAAGTGAAACAATTCCGCTTGTAACACCAGCTGAAATTAAACAAGAAATAAAAACCAATATCAATCCAAAAAAAGCACCAGGTTATGAACCTATTACTGGACAAACTTTAAAAAAGCTACCAAGAAAAGCATTGGTCAAAATTTCTAATTTAATCAATGCTTCTTTTAAATTGAAATATGTACCATAATTTTGGAAAGTGTCTGAAGTAATAATGATCCTTAAGCCAGGAAATCCACCTCATGAAACAACATCGTATGGACCAATATCACTATTGCCGACTGAAATTAAAAGAAAGTAACAGTTATCCCAAAAAATGGAATTAATATAAAAAAAAAGAAGAGCGAGAAAGGTTAGGATGGCATTATTCCAGAGCCCCGAAAGACAAAACTAAGCTAAATAATTTCACAACCCAACTAAGAAATGAAATTAAACAATTAAAAAACGATTCGATTAGCGAAATTCTGCGTACGTTAACAACTGATTTTATCACAGAATATTCACTACGGAAAACTACAAAAAAATTGAAAAGATATCCAAACTCCTCCAATAAAAGAAGAGAATGGAACCTGGGCCAGGAACAATGAACAAAAAACAGAAAGATTTGCGGACCACCTTGAAGAAATATTCCAACCTAATATAGAAGAGAAAGATATTACATTTGCCCACGTTAGCGGACAGGAAAGTGAAACAATTCCGCTTGTAACACCAGCTGAAATTAAACAAGAAATAAAAACCAATATCAATCCAAAAAAAAGCACCAGGTTATGACACTATTATCGGACAAATTTTAAAAGAGCTACCAAGAAAAGCATTGGTCAACATTTCTAATTTAATAAATGCTTCTTTTAGATTGAAATATGTACCATAATTTTGGAAAGTGGCTGAAGTAATAATGATTCTTAAGCCAGGAAAGCCACCTCTTGAAACAACATCGTATAGACCAATAGCACTATTTCCGACACTATCTAAGTTGTTTGAAAAACTATTACTGAAAAGCCTAAAACCAATCATCGAAGAAAAAAATCTCATTCACAATCATCAATTTGGCTTTAGAAATCAACACTCCACGCTTAACCAGTCTGTTAGTAATAATTGTTAAATGTTCCTAACAAGAAAACTGACTGAATATAAGTTTTCAGTAGTTTATTTGAATGTCTCACATTTGACCCTACTAAATCTGGATTAATTGATTATTAGTCCGACCCTGCGTTATTTAGCAACTAAATTCATAGCGCCCAAAATATAGTACTGCTAGATAAAGTGACGGCAGGCGGTTGTACAAATAGACGTACCAGTAGACCGGTATTAGTGCTAATCGTTAGAAATCAATTACGGGTCGAAGCTGCTTCTAATATTAGTTTTTCTTCTGGCCGATTTACTTTTGAAATAAGATAAGGTTAGTTGAACGTCCGTTGGCTCGATATATATGTTCATGTCTGGATCTGTTTTTCGTCTTGTAACTTTTAGAAAAACAACATTATCGATTACACAATTTTATGTATTTCCGGTCTCTATCTACAAAAGAAAATAATATCCAGGAGTTTTATTTTCTTTGGTCGGTGCAGTATCCATGTAAAATATTCAAAGTCCACGAAAATCATTAATTTATATTAATTATTCAAATTTTATTAAAATTATATGAACTCCAACATTAATCAATATTCTATTTTAATGTAGAATATTAAGGGTCAATGTTTACAGCATATAAATTCAAAAATAGTAGTAATAGCATAGCAATATTTTTTAAGATTTTATTATTTTGAGATATTCCGGATTGCTTCTGTTCTAATTTCATTTTTATTTTAATTTTGAAAACGAATCTTAAAAGCTGTATTTCAAAAAGTTATTTCATTTTTAATATTATATAAGCGTACCACTTTCGTTCCATTGAGCGTTGTGCGACCTGCAGCTTTCTTATAATGTCCGTTTTAAGGTTGATTCTCACTATATCCTCCATATCAATTCCCTTCCGTTTCCCTTCCGTTTCTATAAAATATTATATCATGTAAATGAATAGGACAATGGACACTATTCGTTCCGTTTCCCTTCCGTTCTATATTCTTTCCTTCCATACATTTTTTTGGCGGATGGACTGAAGCGTATCGTAAACAGCGTTGTCAAGTTTTTACATTTGTACCAGCTCTGTTAACATTTTGTTGATATTTATTTATTCTTTCACCTCGTAATTAAATGTATTACATTTTTCAAAAGATACACATTTTTAAAATAAAACTTTCGTAATGATATAAACTGTACAATAATAAGTATGGAACTGATACGGAACGGAAGCTTACGTATAGCGTGAATACAATAAAAAATATCGAATGGATATGGAGTGGATATGGAATGGAAACGGAAGGTATAGTGGGAACCAACCTTTAAATGTCCAGGTTTCGAATGCATAGGTCATACCATACTGGTAGTACACATTGGTCGAATCTTTTTTTCTTTAGATAAAGTGGAAGAGATATTCTAGAGTTGAATATTGAATATGATTGAGTTTCTTCCATAAGTACTCAATGCTAATTTATAATATAAATGTTTAAAAACAGTTTTAAAAATTATAGTAACAAATTTATTTCTATTATTTTGTGTATAATCAATATTTTTATAGCCTTTAAATTGTTATTTTAACTGTATGGTTTTCCATTGAACCTATTTTTGATGCTATTGGCAACCGACTTGAAATCGTCTATCCAGCACATCGTACGTCGCGTACATACCAGAAGTTCCAATACGTCCCTGGAGATATAAATACGTTTCTAATTTTCAATACAAAATACTTTTAGTTATATTAAACTCGTAATACGTTCTCATAATATTCCATTCCTTGAATAATACTTTTTTTACTTTATAAATCTTTAGGTAAAGCAGGATTAAACAAAGACTCAAGCGATGGCGCTGGTAAACCAAAAGACCCTCTGAAGCTGGTTATGAACCCAGCTGGTCAGTGCCACGATATCAATTCATTGAGAAAACAAGGATACAATATCGAAAGCGCTCTATCTCCAGAGGTTTGCTTAGAGATCGTCAAAGGATTAAATTCACCAAAAGGAAAAGGTGAGTCACTTAAATAAATGTAAGAAAATTTTACCATTTAAATTTAATTAAACTAATCTATTTACTTAACTACAATAATACCCCATTAACTTATTTTTTACTTTAGACTAGCTTAGTCTCGTCCAGTAATATTAAGTAAAGTTTACAATCAACTCTAAGTATATTAACAGAAATGTATGTCCCCCATAAAAAAAATATGTGGCTTTAAAAGGCTATTCCCTCATTCTTTGACGTAAAAGTACAGGTTGTCCCATTTCTCCCTCATGTCCCATTTTGGTTGTAACCATACAGTATCTCAGTTATTAGTGAAGATAGGAAAATGCGTTTTCCACAAACCTATATCAATTTTTTGTTAAACGGAAGTTGCTATAAACAAAATTTTCACAGTCCTCTTCGTTTCTGGGCTACAGGATCTTAAAAATTTTGTAATTTGAGAAGGTGAGAACTATTTGAACTATTTCTTGTAGAACTTTTTACATAGAATACAGTGGCGTAGTCTGTTTTTCTACGAAAAAAATATTTGTAAAGATATAAACTAAAGTTACGTTTTGTTGGGATAAATTTAACAAATCAGAGATAATAAAAATAGGTTCACTCGTTCTTCAGTTAGAAATGGTGTAACTTACTTGGCTTTGTATTATTTATTTAGATTAATAGATGGAAATTTTTGTTAAAAACTTATTTAATATTAAATACCTACATAAAATGCGTTGGAATTAAAGTTATATAAAGTGTCGTTTAAAGTCTTTTTGACTTAAGTTTGACAATTGAGACCCTAGGATCTGAATTGTAAAAATGATATGATAACTATGTCTATTATCTTAGTTTTTGCCAAAATAATGTTAAGCCTCTTGTGAACAAAATGTCCAAATTTCGTACCATCTTGTTGGTGGTTTGCCAGCTGGTCTGGGCACAGATTATGCAGATTATAAACTTTGTTTTTTCTTTATTGTTTTTCGTGGTTCCAATTTTCGGAATCGGACACTAGTTAGGTTACTAGTTTGCGCACATAGTACGCCCACTTATGGCCTCTAAAATTGTGCACAGCGCCTGACCGGCGCAGTTATTAGAGAGATATCGGAAAACCGAATAGCGTCATGCAGCATTTACGCGTACCTTGCAACGAAATGTTAAGATATATGGAATGGCCCCGGGCTATCTAAGCAATGAGCGGAATATGCAGCCAACATAAGAAAGAGAGGTCCGAGAGAGAGACGGCGATAGTCAGGGCAAAAGACGTGCGGATTTAAATGGCCGGTATAGGAAATATGAGGAATATTTTCAGATTTATAGTAATAAAAACACTTTAAATTCATTTTAGGTAATTTGGAGGTAATTGTAAGGTAATAAAAGTACTGATTTTGAAAAATAGAAATATATTACTCGAGATTAACCCAACTAAACATAAATAAAAACACTAAATAGTAGGTATACATTTATTTTTTATATAGGTTAGTAAAAAATCCAAGGCTATAATTTAAGCAAACCTCTTACCTTCATACTTATACCCAGGGTTGGCTTGATTAAAATCAAGTGATTTTTTTAATTTTAATCATGTGATTTAAATAAAAAAAAAATAATTTTATTGAAACTTTATAATAAATAAAAAAATAACTGTAAAAGTTATAAAAATGTGTCTTAGAAAACTATAAAAAATATTTCTATAACATATAACAGACAATAAATCGAAAAATAATTGTAAATGTTATAGAACTATATAAAAATATCTGTTCATCAATTTAAATGTTGGACCGATTTTTGAAGCAATTTCGTGTGAATCCATTAGACCGCTAAACTAAAATTTTTAAATTTACATATAAGTGACAAAAAATCGCTGTTCGAATACATATCATTCGCAGTGTAGTGCAGAACTAGGAACTAGGTTCTTCTGATATAGAGGTTGTATCCAGGGGGGTGACAGTAAACCGGAAAATTGGAAACAGTTCTGGCGCGGTCATACCCAGGCAGAAAGCATGGCCTTCTAGACTGTCCTAGACAAAAATCTGAATATTTCTATATGATTTCTGTCAATTTCAGTTACGGAACATTTTTATGCACGTCGGCGTAACAGTGCTTTATTTTATGCATAGGCGTTAAAATTACAAAAGTTATTACTCTTGAGACGTTTGAAAAAAAAATCCTTTTGATCTGAAGCGAACGACTTTTTATGCGGAATATATTGGTGACCGATGTGGAAAAATGACACGCACCGTAAAATTGTTAATGTTATCGGTATCGTGCAGAGTTATAAAGATTTAGCCATTTAGGATAGGACTTTAATTGGAAATAAGTCCTACTCATTTGGAAATCCGATTTAAATATTGTTTTGAATTAGTAACCATAACCAGTAACCCTAACCCTAACTTTCTTAAGTTGGGGTCCTTGGGAATTCTATTATTTATTAAAAATAGATAATATTTTAGCAATCCATTACTAATCAAAGGGAAAAACTTACCTGTGAAACTTCATTTTAACCTCCTTTGTTCGCCTATTGCTACAATTCACTGCACTGCAAGATTCAACCATTTCAACACAAATACAACTAAAAAATCGTCTATGCGGTCTATAAATGTTTGTAATAATCACCAAAAAGTATAAATAACAGTTTAAAACTCCACCAAAAACAAAAATACACTCAAAAATCTCTAAAAACATGCACCAAAAACTGACAAAAACACACGGTTTTAATGACAAGAAGCCATTTTCTGCCCTGACTATCGCTATCCTTCTTGTCTGTCTCATTCTAACATCGATCGATACGGAACCCATTCCATATATCTTAACATTTCGTTGGTACCTTACCATGGCTACGATATGCGCGAGTCAATTTTTAACGCAACACCCGCTAATAACGTTACCGTCTGACGTAATTTGCGGATCAATTACACCAAGCGCTATTTCTAAATAACGTTTAAAAATTGCTTAAATGGGCATGTGCGGGTATTTGACAACCGGGGCCGGCCGGCGAGATCTTTTATTTTAGGTTATGTTTGAATTGTTTTAAATTATTACTTTATTTTTTTTAGGTAATTTGATATTTAAGTAGCTGGGATTAGTTTTAATTAAATAAATAAGGCCCAAAATATGGATTCCACCTCTTCCAATATTAAGGAACTTGTAAAGAGGCTTAGGTTTACAGCAGAGGACGACTTAGCCCTTCTAAGAGAATTTGTGACGTGTTGCCCTAAACCCACTGGCAGACGTTGAACAATAAAGCACTGAACATAAGCACTTTAAGCTTTTAGTTTTAAAATACCTAGTAAACAAAACAATTTCAAAGTTTTAAATTCAAAGTTAGGTTAAGTTTAAATAGCGGACGCGACGCGAAGAGAATTCTTTCCGATCCGATAACTATAAATGAAGAGAGTTAATACCACCTCACGTAAAGGAAATAACACCTGGCCTTATTAACGTCCATGCATGCTATTCGGTTTAGCGATATCTCTCTATTACCAAACTATTACGCTGTTTATTGTTCTTTTACGCGAGTTTATTTTTGCGCACAGGAAATTTGACTCGTTTGCACATCGTCATAAAAAACAACTTTCGTACCACGAATTAGGGACAAGATTTTTATCTGTATACTTATAGGATACCTAATCTGTGGTCTGGGTGTGTTGGATATTTATGTTCGCTCCCATTTTGTTATTCTATCGTGGTCCATTATTTCAACATGGGCTTCCCAATGACGCCTTCTTGATCTTCCCCACCTCACTATGTCTTGCACTTCCAATTTCCCTCTGATGTCGTGGTTTCGCATTCTATCTTTTAGAGTGACTCCGCATATTATTGTTAATACTTAATAATAAGCTTTATGTTTATTATAATAAATAAATAGGAGTTAAATAAACTTTTATTACAAAGACAGAAGGAAACTACATGTAAATTTGGATATTTTAATGAAGAGGGCTAACAATAAGTGAGGTCGACAAAAAATGGCGTCAAGGTTGCCTTCGAAATGATAATCGATTATAATTTCTGTTGGGATTGGATAATCCCTATATGGCATGCAGTAAAAAATTATATTAAAATTGATTTGCAAATATTTCATTTACAACAAATGAAAAATTTTCAGACAAATGTTATAAACTTAAAAGATGTATAGGTATGCATATTTCTATTCATCAGCCTCAATCATATCAGCTTTAAGTATTAAATTTATAAATATAACATTTAATTTCTGGGATAATTAATTTTTTTCAGGTGCCGAATTATTTGCTAAACGACGTAAGAGATCCGAAAAGTGGGTAGTAGCGGAAACTAACGGAACTCGACCACCCTCCACTATACCTGACATTGCTCCATCTCCAACACCGGTGCTGTCTCCAGTACCTCCACCTCCACTAGGTCCTGCACCAAGCTACCTACCAGAAACGCAACAGAGACTACAACATAAGGAAAAGCTAGACGAAATTCAGGTATTAATTCTTTTGGCCACAGAAAATTTATTTAGTAGTAAGTATATTCAGTCCTATGTCCACAAAATCAATACATTCTAAGAATATATTATGTGAAATTAAACAGAACAAAAAATAATTTGGATATATTTGAAAATGGATTTATCCTTTTAGCATTTTTTTGCTGAAGGATTGAATTCAAATTATTTTTTATATATAGGAAAAATTTACACGTCCACGTATAAAACTTGTAAAGTCTCCTTGGGAAGCTGCTTTGGAAACAGGTTCAGTAGACGCTGCTTTTCAAGTTGAACCAGTTTGGCCAACAAAAGGCAACTACGTAGCACCTGCTGTCAATTCCTACGAAGAGGCACTTAAAAGCGACAACCTGGCGTCGTGGGCAATACCAAAGTCAAATGGGTAAGCAGAAAAAATATCTATCTTTCAATGTTCTTAACATGTATTTTAAAATAAATAGACCAACCAATTGCTTATTACCATCCATTTTAATAAATTATATAATACAGTATATCTATACCGGTTTGACTATTCTAAAACATTACTCAATAGAATAATATAATTTTATATCGTGTGCATGACTCGTGTTACATTCTTTCTGAACTGATATTGTTATATGTTTTTCTTGCTTCTAATTATATTAGATACAACTCTGAAAAGACTTATGCCCATAATCCGGCATACAATAGTCAGAGCATCAACAGAATAGTTGACAATTATCAAAAAGGCACCTCCAACGTGGATGTTTACAAGCCTGCACTACCACAAGCTTGGAATTCTGGACCAGCCAAGAAACAACAATTTGGTATGTTAAAAATAGTAATAACTTTATTAATATTAGTAAAATAACAATTTTAAATTCTGTGCTTAAAATGCTTTTATCTTTCTTTCGCTAGGTAGTATATCTGCTGCTTTATCTAATATCATAAAACCTCCAGTAAAAGAAGAACCTCGTCCAACTTCACCCTTTCCAACTATTCCTGACGTATCGCAAAATATTGAAACTTTACAGTCGGTAAAATCTAGCGTAATTCGCGCAGTAACGCCGACATTTTTAGAGCCCAAACCTGATCCACAAAAAGAAGCTGAGCTTGAGCTAGATCGAAAACGCCAAGAACGGGCAGCTTCGCCGTTTCCTTCAATTCCGGATGTTGTGTTAGAGCAAACAGTTATCGATGAAGACATAAAAAGTTTTCAAGAAAATAAAGACGTGGAGTCAGTGCTTAGACCAGCATCCCCTTTTCCTACTATACTCGACATAACTTTAAACCCAGAAATTTTGGAGAAAGATATTGTAACTTTACGGACCAGTCCTGTTCCCTTTCAAATTCAATCTTCAATCAATATGGAGGAAGGTTTAACGGACATTCAGCTTGATGAACCTCTTCCTCCACCTCCAGAATTTATAGAAACACCTGTAGAATTAGAAAGGCCTATACCGTTTCCTACTATTCCTAATATCTCGAAGTATTTGTCCACTGAGAAACAGGAATCTACATTATTTCGACCGATTCCATCTAAACCATTCGAATCAGTTTCAATAACGGATAAAAAATATGAACTAAACAATCCTTTAGGTAAATGTGCTCCAAAACCGCCTAAACCCGAGTTTAATTATGCCTTGGCTAACTTTCAAAATAAAGTTACAGAACATAGCTTTACGAATTCGGCATCTAATTCGAGAACTATACAGTCAGAGCTTTTTGAGAATCAAGGACATTTTAATGCTAGAGGTAAATCCCCTATTCACATTTTTGTACCAAATGAAACGCAGGAAGCTAATTTAAACCTAAATATTGATAAGAATCCTGAAGAGAAATCAAATAAGTCAAATGACCAAAGAAAAATTATTATTGAGAAAGTCGAAGTGGAACAGAAAAATCCAGAGTATGAAGAACATGTAAGGAAAATGGTCATAGAAAATAATCAGGAAAAATCAACTGTAATTCAGTCACAAAAGCAATGCTTCTCGGAGCTGAATAATATAAAAACAGCTTTCGATGTAGTTAACCAATATGCGATTAAAGGAATGACAGGATTTGACGTTGAATATAAAGATTTGACCCAAAAAGAAAACGAAACAGAAGCGAACAAAAAAGAAGATATAAATAATATTATTTTGACTGAAACAATTGAGGTAAATCAAAATTTAGGAAAAACTCTTAATAATGAAAACAATAAAGTTGTAGTTGATGACAATACAAGTAAAGTTCAATCTGAGGAAAAGGAAAGTAGTAATAATGCTAAAAATAATGTGTCAATAATAAATAAGAAGTCTCCAGCAAAAGAAGATATTAATTTAGATATTGAACCAAAAATATGTAAAAAACCACCTGGTGCGATAATTGGGGCTAGACCACTTTTTGGTGAACTTAATATCAATGATGAATTTAAGAAGGCCTTGGTTGGAAGGAAGAAGTCTATGCTGGATAGAAGATATAAAGATGGATCAAAAAATGTCGTGGAAGTTCGGGAACCTAACAAAGTCCATTTTGAGCAGTCGGAAACAAAATCAGAGGAAGAAGTTACTGATAATTCAAAATTAAAAGCTGAAATTAAAACTAATGAAAAAGCGGATGTAGAAATATTACGACCAAACGAATTTGAAGAGGTAGAAAAAGTATTTTACGAACAAAACAGAGAATATGATATCGATTTCCAAATAGTACAAGAAGAATATATCGATCCTAATACTAATAACGGTTACTCAAGATCACAAAATTTGCGACACGTGCCTCAACACACAAATGGTGTAAATAATACTAATTATAGAGTGCAGTCACCTATGACACAATTTAATCAACAACAACAAATTGTACCAAACATCTTTCCCCAAAGTCTTCCAACACATCAAACATATCTAGATCAACAACATGATAGAAACGATCATACCTTAAACCAAGCCGATACAATAACAGAAGAAAATGAAGACTATGTTAAAGTACCGGTGAAATCGTTAATAGAAAGTTTTGAACAATCAATTATGCCTCCCATGCAATACAAACAAATTCGAGAACCTTTGCCTGATGTCGTAGAAAAATTAAGCTTAAGGCATCCAAATGCAGATAAGCAGAATAATTCTATAAATACCAACATTAATAGTACTCAAAGCAATAATATTAACTTTAAAGAACAAAAAATGATTCAACAACAAAGTATGCTGAAACAAGCCGAACAAGATTTTGATAATCTATATTACATTACAAGTTCTAAAGTGCAATCATCTAATTATCTACAACCAGATCCTACAAAAGTATATTCCTTGCAACAATCAGAAAACAGTTCCTTTTGTAAATATTCTTCTTCCCAATACTCTTCCCAGTACTCCTCCCAACAGCAGATGCAATTCGCCTCTACAAGCAATGGAAATTCTTATGAGCAATTAATACCAGGCAAGCTTTAAAATATGCATCCAGCTTAATGTGAATGATAACTGTTTTATCGTGTTTGTGTCTAATTAACTGGATTCAGTATAACTATCCAACCAACGTTTGTTTGAAATTGGACAATAATATACAAGGTGTCCCAGGCTGAGCATGCATTAGAAGTTTCTAGAGAACTACAACTTCTAGATCGGAGATTTTTTGCACATTATTGTTTCACAACGAGATCTATCGATTAAAAATATTTTTGAATATGACGGCACTTCCGGAAATACCGGAAGCTGACAGCAACTTTCTTATCTTAAATGGCTACCCCATTTTATATTATATATATATATATATAATATATATATATATATATATATATATATATATATATATATATATATATATATATATATATATATATATATATATATATATATATATATATATATATATATATATATATATATATAGATATATAGAGAATAATTATATTATATAATATATATATATAAATATATATAATTATATAATATAATTATTCTCTCTAAAATTTTATGAATTTTGACATCGAACACTCTATATCTAACATTAACCGTTTTTGAGAAACAAAAATATTTAAAATTTTTGGAGGAAAATAACTGCCTGTAAAAAAAATCTGTATCGCCTAAACGACAAATTTAGTGATTACCACAGTCTGTGTTTGAATCTTCTGTTGTTTGAATGTCATATAATATTGGCCGTAATATGTCATGGCCTATCATGGAATTCAGCGATTAAAAAATTATCATAAATAATTTTTTTCAAATGGAAACCTACTATTTTTATTTCACTAATGAAAAGGTTTTTTAGTTCGTTACTTTCTTATTATCCATGTTCCTATAAACCTATAATTCCTATACCTAAACTAAATCGTTTTTAAGTTATTTTAAAATTCAGTTTTAAAGAATACATTTTTTGGTTGTTAATCAGTTGCTTATGACTTTAAACATCACACAATGTAAAACTATATCTGGCCATGTCATACTGACATTAGCTATCACTAAAATACGAGATATATTTTTACTCTTTATAGACTTTTACTAGCAGTATTTATACGAAATTCAAATAATGATTTTTTTGACAGAAGGAAATAAATTGTCTGATGGTTTGACCGTAAGCTAGATAAAATCAAGAAAAAATTACGCTTTAAAAGTAAATTTTAAACAACCTAAAAACGAATTATTTTAGGTATAGGAACATGTATAATCACAAGGTAATGAATTATTGAAAAACATTTTCACTAGTGAAATAAAGAGAATGGGTTTCCAGTTTCCATTTGAAAAAAATGATTTATGATAATTTTTAATCGCTCAATTTCATGCCAATATTATATGACATTCGAGCAATTTAATTTTTGAAATAGATAGCAACATGTCTTCTCTTAATGCCACAGTGGCTGTGGTAATCACTAAATTTGCCGTTTAGGCTACACCATAACCAACATGAGATACAGGCCAGAGACATCGATTTGTGACGTCACCGCTAATAGTCGGGCTTTTGAATTGTGCCATATGGTACTGCATATAGTTTTTGCATAAATAATAGTATTTATTGATAGTTTTGCCAGATATAAATATGAAAAATATTATACACAAAGGTATTAAAAAATAACATTAACTTTTTATCGCGTTAAAGTAATTGAAAAACATTAAAATTTAGATTTAAAACACGAATGTTAATATGAAATAAACAACAGCATAAGATGAACAGAATAAAATCCAGATAATAAAAAGCATGTCCTAAAATTGCGTTAGCAAGTATTTAGCAGCTAGTAATAATTTACCTTGTGATGAAGTTTCCAAATATTAAAAAAATTGAAAACTATACTTTATCGACAAGTTAAGAAAATGTATTGTATATGATAAGGGCAGAATACATTTTAAAGTTTAATTAAAAATAAATGTAAAAATTTGCCTAACATATTTAAAAAATGTGGATATCAGGTAGAATTAACTATTATCATTAAGTAATTTGTAGTTCGATGTTCAAGTAACCATTTCCATAAATCATAAATAAAAAGATAAAGATATTTTTTTTATATAAAATACTGAAATAAAGTACAATTCATTTAATTTCTTTAAAATATATTGCCATTTCATAATAATAATAATAATTTTCAATATTTATATCATCCTGAATTTCCAAATCTTGTTTTCTTTCATCGGGATGTTTTCTCTTTATGGGAACATGCACAGTCATATAAGAGGGTTGATTTAGAAAAAATGGAAGGAACAGCATCTTCTGTAGGTTTTGGACGTGACTTAGTTACAGTTAATATTGTTGGGAAAGAGAATGTAGACAGATCCTGAGTACTTATTATAATTGCTGCTACAAGGCACATGCATAGAACAATGTCGCGGCATTTTTTATTTCACAAAGTAAAAATAAAGAAACGACAACTGTTTTACCTAAAAATACACGTCACTTACGTTGGTTTAACACTATACACTAACACTAACGCTATTAATTATGTTTTTATATAAATTCCCCAACTTTTTCCTAGTCCGGACACACAGCTGGCATCGCCGGTGTTACTATAATTTTTACCGAAAGTATGGTTTATTTCGCGGGTACGATGTTATGAATCGGATCTAGATAGATAGACCTGTCAAATATGCTATTCACTCAAAATTATTTAGTATAATTTTATTAGCATAGAAACGGGTAAAAAACACAGATTTGTTGCGAAACTAATGAAAACAATTGGTTTGTTTACGACTACTAATTCTCGACCAGTTCGGCAGAACTGTCAAAACAGTCAGGCCTTGAATATGACGTTAGCCACGGCTACACAGATTGTTTTGATAGGCAGTTTCTTTCCTTCAAAAATTTTAAATATGTTTTTCTCAAAAACGGTTAATGTTAGATATACAGGGTGTCCCAGAAATAAGTGCAAATATTTTAACTGGTAGTATAGTTCAACCCCAGAAACACGCCTATGAGGTTTTCTTCGCGAAAAAAAATTTTTGAAAATTCGAAATTTTTTGAAAATTTTTTTGGATTTTTTTTTAGTTTTTAGTTAAAAAACATAATTTCTTGATAATGTGGCAACATAGGTATTAGATTAAATTTACAAGAAAGAAAATCCAGAAAAGATCCAATGGTTCTCAAAATTTTAGGAAAAAATCATTTTTTTTTTGGGAATTTTCAAAATAAAATAATTCCGTTATTTTGGACTTATTTGAAAAACGACAAAGGGAAAATATGCTTCTTTTATCAAGATCTACCACCCCTTAAAATATCTGCACTTATTTCTGGGACTCCCTGTATAGTGTTTGATATCAAAATTTATAAAAAAACTTACATAGAATTTAAGTATGTTATAAAAAATAGGAGTACCTATTTAAAATAAGAAAGTTGCTGTCAACTTCCGGTATTTCCGGAAGTGCCGCCATATTGAAAATATTTTTTAGTCGATATAGTCTGTCCAACGACAAAATCCTTGACAGTGATAGATGTGTTATTTTAATTTCAAAATAGTTTATTTTATTTTACAAAGAAATAAGTTGGTACAATTGGAATAATTAATATATTTAAATTTTGAGTGACAAGTGATTACTTCAAAATACTGATTTTTCCCTCAACAAAGATCCGATTAAATTTATATCTCCGTCAGAGCATTTTCAGAAACTCTTTGAGCCAGAGTTTACCATAAATGCTTTTTATATCTACTAGTGGGTAAATGAATTTGTAGAAATATTACGACTTTTCTTGGAACTTCAGTTTCGGAGATATAAATTTAATCAGACCTTTTTAAGAAAATTAATTTTATTTTTCAGAAACTATTTGAGACAGAGTTTACCAAAAATGCTCTTTATATCTACTAGTGGGTAAATGAATTTGTAGATATATTACGACTTTTCTTGGAACTTTAGTTTGGAAGATATAAATTTAATCGGACCTTTTTAAGAAAATTAATTTTATTTTTCAGAAACTATTTGAGACAGAGTTTACCAAAAATGCTTTTTATATCTACTAGTGGGTAAATGAATTTGTAGATATATTACGACTTTTCTTGGAACTTTAGTTTCGGAGATATAAATTTAATCGGACCTTTTTAAGAAAATTAATTTTATTTTTCAGAAACTATTTGAGACAGAGTTTACCAAAAATGCTCTTTATATCTACTAGTGGGTAAATGAATTTGTAGATATATTACGACTTTTCTTGGAACTTTAGTTTGGAAGATATAAATTTAATCGGACCTTTTTAAGAAAATTAATTTTATTTTTCAGAAACAATTTGAGACAGAGTTTACCATAAATGCTTTTTATATCTACTAGTGGGTAAATGAATTTGTAGAAATATTACGACTTTTCTTGGAACTTCAGTTTCGGAGATATAAATTTAATCGGACCTTTGTTCATCGTCAACACTTAATTTTCCCTCGAGTTTTCGTCCACTTAATTTTAAAAAACACGAAACACAAGTAACAACACAATCCAAAATGCAAAATGCAAAATATTTATCATTTCTATTTGACATAATATGACACAAAATTATAACCTATAATTTGGCAAGAGTTTGACAACTCTCAAAAATGTTAAGTCGAGTTCATACGCATAAGCGTGCGTTTGTCGTTCATCGTTGCGTCAAACCAATAATATTGAAATATGATCTGTCATTTTTAAAATAAACCAATAAAACTGGTTAAAAACAACAAGAAATGACGCATGACGTATTTATTTATAAACCCATCCATAGTTAACTTAAAAAATATTAGAAACTTCTTTTAGTGAAATAATTGGATTGGTATGGAAGTCATCTGCTTTTTTTCTGTCATCGACTGTCGAAATCTTACCTGAGAAAAAAAACAGAGTATAGATCTCGTTGTGAAACAGTAACATGCAAAAAAATCTCCGATCTAGATATTGTAGTTCTCTAGAAACTTCTAATGTACGCCCAGCCTGCGTACGGACCCCCTGTATATACATATATGAACATGTATTGAAAAGTGGTCATCAAACACGAAACACTTAATATGGCGTTGCTGTAACCAAAAATTCTACATTTGAAAGGAGCGACAAAATTTTTTCTAAGAGAAAATAAATAAAAAGAGATAGATAAATATGCGATTCCTGAAGGCGCGTGTTGCCTCTCTTTTTGACTGTCTTCAGCTCTTCAGCTCTGTCAGTCCGCTAAGTTCAGTTCAACCCCTTATTGTTTCTTAGCGCCACTAGGGTCATTTAATGAACCCTTATTTTTCCCATTTTGATGACCACTTTTTTAAAAAATTGTTTCTCCTTACCTCTACCCTCCATAAGTACAACCATGTCTGTCCAAATTCTAAAATACTACTGGTGATTTTTTTTTAACTATGATTTTAACAAATAAATTATATATTCTAGGCTCATCTACCCTTCCAAGACCACAATCAAAACCTCCGCTATCGCCAACATACAAACCCGACGTGGCACCTCAAACCTTTGTGCCGAAAGAAAGCAATGCGCCTCTGCCAAATCTCTATGCTCCAGCATACAACGCTCATTCTCCAACTACTGAATATACTGCACCGCCGAACTATATACCCAGCCAAACCTACGACGATTCTTTACTATCTACACCTCTACCGACCCAGAAGAAAATCAACTTTGACAGTTTGCATAACTACAACACCGCACCTAGAGGATGGGGTGGTTCGAGAGATGTATACAAGCCCCTAACGTTTGAGAGTCCCCGATCACCATACTCTAATTTCTAGTTGTGTAAACTTGCCCAAGATATATACACATGTAATGTTATTATTTATGAATATCGTTTGTCGTGTTGGAGCACAAAAAGCTAATGTTTAAAAATTCTTAAAAGAATTCTAAGCAGGTATCTGAATGATCAGAATTACCGGAGTATTGTGAATAAGCTTTCTCGCTGGTGCGGTGTAAGAAATAGTATCAAAAAAAATTATTAATTTCTGCTTGGTTCAAAGTCATCCATCTCATCCAATCCTTTTAAGGATTGCGCAATTGAGGTAATGGACAACAAAATTTAAATATTTCGATACTAGTCAGCTTAGGACATGTATATAATATAAACGATTTATTTCTTTGACTAACATTTTTGATTTTTTTTTCGTTGTATACGATTTTCTTTCAGTTTTCTTTTGTATTTATAAAATTCGTCGAAAGAACACGTAAATGTGTTTGTTGACTATATTTTCTTTCTTTGTTGTCTTTTGTGTTTGTATTTTAGATGTAAAAAATTCAGTACTTAGTACATTACGATGTTATTTATTTGTTTATAAGAGTATGTATAAATATGAAAGAGTTAAAATAAAGATTATGTGCCAATTGGTTTTTTTTTTCGCCGGCAGTTTTCTGCAGAAAGCATATGTACAGGGTGTCCCATTTTCGTTGAAATCATACAGTATCTCCATTATTAGTAAAGATTGGAAGCTGTCCCACTTTTCTGTCAAACGGAAGATACAGTAAACAAAATTTTCATAGCGTTCTTCGTTTCTGAGCTACAGGGTCTTTTTAAAAATTTTGCAATTTGGGACACCCCCCGTATCTCTGTTATGGTAAAAGGTATCGAGAAGGCAAAAACTGTTTATTGGAGAGTTTTTTTTGCGTAGAATACAGTGGCGTGGTCTGTTATTCTACGAAACAAATATTTTTGAAAATATGAATTAAAGTTATGTGTTTTCAAATGGAACACCCTGTACAGATATTTATAAATCATATAATCCACCTTACTGTAAGCTTCTCAAAAATATATATCACTCTATATTTATTTTCACTATTTACTGCAATATTTAAAAGATATCAGTTTCTTATTAGTAGGCTGTGAAAGATAATAAAAAAAATCAAAATGATAGATATTTACTAAAATAGTCATACACATATTAAAATTTTATGTGGGACTGAAATATTTTACTTTAACTGTTACCACTGAATCTCTGAAAATATATTTTTTCTTTTTTTTATAACGGGATGAGGTTTGCAAATATCTAAAAGCTTGCCTAATAGCATTTTCTAGGTCTTTGACTTTGTAGTTGCCATGATATATTTCATATTTGAAAAATCCCTATATACAGAAATCGAGACCGGACAAATCCGGGGACCATGGAGGCTATCGTAGGGTCTATATTGGTACCAATTCATGGATTTGGGAAATATCAAACGTCGTTTAATAAAATTTTAATATTTTCAGAGTTGTGAGGGAAAACTCCATCTGCGCTGAAAGTATATTTCAAGTAAATTACAATACTTAAAGGAATATCTAAAAGTTCCGGTAGGTACGATAGCTGCTGATAGACACATGCCATCAAGCAACAATTAGCGTAGTATCCCGGTTACTATACTACTTTCACCAACCAACATCGCCATCTATTCGACAGGAATTATTGCTGCCCTACGTAGCTCTTCATTTACTCCATGTTGGAATCTCTTGCCTTTGTTGATGGAGTACCCATAATCGACCATTTCCAATGGACATCGAAAGTTCAAACGACACTTGACAATTTAAAAGTTAATAATAAAAGACAATTATTAAAGAAGACAAGATGAAGCAAATATCAGAATTAATATTAAACTAAAATAAGGCCAAGACTGTTTTCTGTTTAATTTTCATATAAATACTATTTCACTAAGTGCTTTATAAAAGTAGGTTCGTACGATTTATAATTAACCTCGTTCACTCTGAATCGAACATTTTCATTTATTACCGAACATGAATAAAAGGACTTATCTGCATATGATTGAGGGAAGAAATTTCCACCAGTACGTTTTTTTGGTTTTGTAAGTTCATATATGGATACGTATTTTTCTGGTTTGTATTCTGGGTATTTATCAAAACATCCCGCATGGCAGCCACCAGGCTGAAAAAATACACATTATTTAAAATCTATTCTGTAAAAGCATGTAAAAGAGTTGTTAAAGGGTTATATCCTAGCTGATTACTTTGTTGAGCACATTTTTCTAATTCTATTACAAAACTAATATTAAGTTTTCATGCATAACTGATTTTAATTTGTAGTCGAAATGAAAATACAAGACTATTTTGTTATAATAATAAAGTGTCGAGCATGGAAATCAAAATGGATTTCAAAATGACTTCTACAGTATTTAAATAAGATAAATAGATACAATTCTGTTTAATAAAATAATTCTGTAAAACTAGGTACGGTCCATGAAAAATATCGGTAAAAGACGATTTGATAAACCAGTAGAAATATCAAATATTGACTTTTTAAATTCCGATTTTCTTGTCATAGAACTTATATTTCAGGTTTGACTCTTAAATTCGTCAACGAACAACGGTTCAAGTTTTTTGCAACGAAAAGCATGGTTGAATGATACATAATAGACAAAAAAAAAACAGAAAAACGCTTTTTTGCGCTGCTTTTATCTGGTGACAATAATGACACACATTTTTCAGGAACTTTGTTCTGTAAAAATAAAGATTTCAACAAAAACATAACGAATTAGAAATAATGGTATGAAATGAAATGCCGACATGCAAAAGGTATTTTTCTGTCAGTTTTTGCATAGCGAAGTACAGAAAAATTCATTATACAGGGTGGTCCGAACCGTATTCCGGAAACTTCGTCAGCATATTCTGCACACAAAAATAAGTAAAAAAGTTCGTATAAACTTACGTCCTAAAATACTTCGTTTCAGAGACACAGGGTGTAGAAGAGTTATGCCGATATTTGGATGAAAATTGATGTCTGGATGTTTTTTGACATGAAAAATTCGATTGCCGAGTGAAACTGCCGAGTGAAAAAATATACATTTTCATAATTTTCTACGTAAAAAAGGTCTCTTGGTAAAAATCGCTGCGATTAATGGTTCTCAATATATTTGGAATCGAAATAGTCAATACATGTCATAATTGACGAAAATTGTAAATGTTGGCTGGGTAATTATTAGTCTGAAGTAATAAATTTGTAATGATTTTGTGCCAAAGATTTAACAAAAACTGTTTTATCAGAAAAAATCGTGATTAGCTTAAAAAAATTAGAAGTTCCCAAATTTATATCAGTCAAATAACTATCTAGTCAACATGTTTATTTTTTTTTTCAATAATGATATGTATTGACTATTTCCATTCTAAATATCGTGAAAGCAGTTGCTCGCTGTGATTTTTTCCAATAAATATTTATTACGTAAAAAATTACGGAAATGTATATTTTTTCACTCAGTAGTGTAATACAGAAACGGACGAAAAGTTATTACTCTTCAAAACAGTTAAAAAATATGTAGGAGACTCCCCTTACAAGTAGGATTCATATTGACATCGAAATCAGATTTATCATGTCAAAAAACTCCCACATACTAATTTTTATTCAAATACCGAATTTAGTTCAAAAATTATTAGAAAAAAATAAAAATGAAACGTCTACACCTTGTATCTTCGAAACGAAGCATTTTTGGATAGAAGTTTATACGAACTTTTCTTATTTTCATGTGGCAGAATATGCTGCCGAAGTTTCCGGAATACAGTTTGGACCATCCTGTATAATAATATGATAAAAAATTGATAGTAATTTAGAGCATGTACAAAAATGTATTGATAATAAGAAATCGATAAATTTGAATATTAAAACATAATATTAAGTAAAAAGACAATGTGTACCCATTTTCCTGGTCCATTTGGTATGAACTTTCCAGGTGGTAAGAATGGCCGTTCTTTTTCTACCGGCCGAACATAGGTTGGCCCAGGTTTAAATTTGTCAGGTTCTTTAAAGGGATTTCTTTCAAAATAGGACTTGGAATGCATTCCTAAAACTAGTGGGCCATCCAGTTTCCGACCATAATCTTTATATTTTGGTTGTACTCCATACTTCTCCACACTGTAAATAATAGAGACTGTGCATTTATTTGTACAATAAACCGTTTCAAGGAATTACAACATACACATTTTAACTGAGCTGACAAATGAGCCAGATACTTTACCTAGACCTTTATTCAGAAGCTACAAAACCTATCGATGAAAATATGCATGAAAATTTACTTCCTAGCACATAAGGTTAGTACAATATGAAGTTTATTATAATGATTTTCTTACCAGCATATGGCACATATCGTTACGCAATGTTGCCACAAGCTTACTTTTTATCGGAGTAGATTATCACGAGATAGCGGGGTTAAATTATTGTTTTACAAAGGGGGGAAATCTACCCGGAATGGGGTAGAGGTGGCAACACTGCCGCTATCACTTTTCCTCTCACGCGTCACGACCTCTCGCTGTCATCATTCAAGGCCGAGTCTCACGGCCTTGAATTTTTACTCCCAACGCGCGTAAAGAAGTTTCACTTTAAAAACTCTGTGTGGCTACCTTTAGTATATTATTGACTTTATAAAAGAATTAAAAAAATGTTATGTTAGAAAACGGAAAGATGTGGAAACAAAATATTATATGGGTATATGTGAGGAGGAAATTTGCATAATTTAAAATTATTTTCAAATATACAGGGTGTGTCAGAACTAAAATCCATACCAGAGTTATATTTTTTCTTGTGGAACACACACCCGTATTTTATGTCATTTTTGGATTGTTATGCATAAAATAAGGCATTTATTATAAAGATTTAATATGTTTAAAGGCTTTGGTTTTTGAGATATTTAAAGATATTTAAATATTCATGCTATAATAAAAAAGTTTGTCAACACCCGGTACATTACTTTGCAGAATATTAATTCTTGTGCTGACTTTTAAGCCAGAGAAATAAACTTTACTAAAAAATTTGATTGTTTCCTAAAATGTATACAGGGGTATCAAAAATTGCTGGTCTATTTTAAATATTTATTTTACATAAAAACTTCGTTATTTCAAATGCAACACTATGTATATTTTATAATAAGTCGAAGCAGATTTAAATGCTCTTTCAAACTATATTAGGGTTTCCTATAGCGATCTGACTCAGATTTTGAATAAAAAGCGATTTTTCAATAAAATGGCAATCAAGATGGCTGGTGTCGCCATGGCAATTTTCTAGTGACACTTTACATTTATTTAATTTACCTATAACACAATAGTTCAATAAGTAAGTATTTATTATTTTATCAAGAAAAACGAAGAAATAGTTCTTTGCTTTATATTACGATGACTTGTAGATGTAGATATATTGGATTTTCTATAAAAGAACCAATTAAGGCAAATTCATTTTTTTTACTTCCAGCTCCAACGACATGTTTCTGCCTAATAGTTTTTTCATATACAACACTAAGAGCTCTGCGAAATAGGAAAAGTAATTTTTCAAATGAGCGCTTGTCAAGAAAATTCCTATTTGGATATTTTTGGGCTGTAAACCCTTCAGGCCAAGAAGCAATTTTCTTTACAAAATGAGATCACTAGTAACATATCCATTCCTTCCGTCATCGCCAGCTTCATTTTTATTAATACTGCTTCATTTTTCTTGATAAAATAATAAATACTTACTTGTTCTTACTTATTAAATCTTATGGTAGGTAAATTAAATAAAAGTAACCTTTTATAAATTTAAATAAAGTCCAGAAACTAATGTTTATTTTGAAATAGCTACATAAGTTCATACATACACATAGCTACATAGAAAAATCTCTTTTTATTCAAAATCTGAGCCAGATAGGTATAGGAAACCCTAATATAATTTGAAAGGGTATTTAAATCTGCTTCGACTTATTTTAAAATATACATAGTGTTGCATTTGACAGTTTTTTTTTATTTTTTACAGTTTTTATGTAAAATAAATATTTAAAATATACCGGCAATTTTTGATACCCCTATATGCCTTATTTTATGCCCAGGAATCCAAAAATAAAATAAAATACAGGGTGTTCCATAAGAAAAAGTATAACTTTGGTATAAATCTTAGTTCCAACACACCCTGGACATTTGAAAATAATTTTAAATTATGCACATTGTCTTTCTACATACCCATAAAATATTTTGCTTCTACATCTTTCCGTTTTTGTATAGTCAACCGAGACGAATGAGATGCGCCACTTTGTATAATTAATATCAATACCTATGTTCGGGATACGGATTAATACATATATTGTTGTAGCCATAACCGCCCTTCTTTCCTGGACTAGTAAGGAGGTTACCTGGCTCGCGCTTGAATGGTGGTTGAGGTTTCAACTTAGTATCCAATGCTTCAACTCGTCCCCCAAAGGTACCGTACCAATCGCCAGGAGTGCCATGCCACTTGGTTTCTCCGGCAGGTACAAATGGTCGTTGGGATATGTTTTTAAATTTAGGCGGTGGTCTGTGAATAAAAAAATTAACTTTTAAAAAGAAAATTCTAAACAAGTGACTCTTAAATAGGTGCAAATAATTTAAACCGTTTAAAACTTTACTCGTTTAACTATATGACATCGTGTATGATAGCGTTTTTACCCAAAATACACATGTAAAAGTTTGTTCTATGTTACGGGGGTTCTAGGGTTGTAGAATGTATAATGTTTATGAGGGGAGTTAATCACCGCGATCTTACAGATCTATTGCATGTTCCCTTTTCTTGAGTTATAACGAGTTATAACTCATCATACAGTCTCAAGGCTTTAACAAAAGCCAGTATCTGAGACGGCTCCACAGAGGCCAGCTCTCCATCCTCGACATCAGCCGTACCAAAGTTCATGGCACGAATGGTCGTCGTCTCGGCGCACTCAGTGATAAGGTGTTCTGGTGTTTCCCCATTTTCCCCACAGAATCTGCATTCGCCGTTGTTTCTCAGCTTCAGTCTAATGAGGTGTTCGTTGAGGAGACAGTGTCCTGTTAGAAACCCCGTGACAATCCGAAAATTGTTTTTACTTAAATCAAGGAAAACCTTTAATTTTTCTCGGTCGTAAGTTTTGAGGAACTTTTTTGAGTGTCTTAGACCGTTGGAGGATACCCATTCCAAGTTACGGATGGAGTCTTCCAGATTCTTCAGTTCCGCTTTCTGTTGGTTCCCGTTTGGAAAACAGAACGGTTCTGGTCCGGTTAGTGGAGTGTTCGCTCCTTTCCTAGCTAGATCATTTGCTTTTTCATTGCATTTTATCCCTTGGTGAGCAGGTACCCAGAGTAGGAAGACTTTATTTTCTTTGCCTAGTTTGTTGAGCTTGTAGGCATTCTTTGGCCAACTTCGAATTGATGGTTACTGAGTTGATCGCGTTTAGTGCTGCTTGACTATCGGATAGGATGGCAATTTCCTGTTTTCGATAGTTCCTATCTAAGATAAATTGTACGCATCTTTCGATAGCTTAAATTTCTGCCTGAAGGATACTGGGGTAGGTGTCCATTGGTTTGGAGTATTTGGTTTTCAGCCCAAATACCCCTATTCCTGTCCCTGCTTTGGTTTTGGAAGCATCAGTATACCACGTTATGGTATGGTTTTTATATGCTGAGTAAGCGTTTCTTCCTTCCAATCCTTTTTATTACTCAATACTACAGTGAGGTGTTTCTCAAAGTTGTAAATTCTTGGTATGTCATCCACTGGGAATTGGAGAAGTGGAGACCTTTTTGAGGGTGTTCCAAGCCCCTGACCTGAAAGTTTTCCCAGTAGTGTTACCGTCAATGACCATTCTAATCATTGTCGCATTGGCATAACTACCGACGAAAATATGCAGTGTTGTTAGGTCTAAAATGGCCTCCATTGCTGCTGTTGGACATGTTCTCATGGCACCTGTGATGCAGATACATGCCAGTCTCTTTCTTGGGTTCTAGGGTTACAAGGAAAATAAAAAAGATAGATAAAATGGCTAAATAAGGTTTAAAAATGCCATTCATCAGCGCAGAAATTTTCTGCCGCATTGCAAAAGCAGTCGCACAGAATAGTGATTGACCACTAACAAATCTTTAGAATGGTGGAAAAATTTGCAAGGAAGAGATAGTGCTTAATAGTAGAATATTCGCCAACATTTACTGCAGAACTGATATAAGCAAAAACAGAATAACTGTCACAGCTCTAGTGTAGACGAAGCCATGTGCAGCTTTTCTCAATCTCAAGAAAAAAACACAGAACACATCTTATGTCAGTGCGACAGCATGGTAAATGCGGTTCTTTGTATTAGACATTGATATGCGATTGAAAAGAAGCTAAATAAGGCTAAATAAGCGTTCGGCATTTAACGTTTTATGTAAAACTGGCTAGGTATTTTTACAAATGAAGAAGCAAATTAAAGGTAAAGGATATATATCCGTATTGTAGCAAATTTTTAGAAAACTTTTTTATTTTTAAGATTTTGGTGGTCAAATATCAACAAAATATTCCTTATGCTTGGACTAAATTTTCTCGAAAATAAAGACGTAATTTAAAATTTTATTACAATACGGAAATAGATTGAAGTTTTGTGATTACAGTTATATATAATGTATATGGTTTTGTAACAAACTGCTCGTGTGTTTGTTATTTTGGGTGTGGCTTAACACGACAGGATCGGGCTAAGTCTTAGGTATCTACGATTTCCTAAATAGATTTGAGTATTAGCTATTTTTTTTGATCGAAACATTTTCAGGAAAAATACAATTTAAATGCCTTGACGTGTTACCATGTATTATGATCTACTTTAGTTACAAGGGAACACAGTATACATTTAGCACAAAGTGAAGTATCTTATTTGTAGAATGTAGAATGTTTAGACCTTACACATCTATTGTGTGCACCCCTTTTTTGAGTTATAACAAATTATAACTCAATATACAGTCTCAGGGCTTTGACAAAAAACAGTATCTGAGACAGCTTCACAGAGGCTAGTTCTCCATCTCCGTTATCAGTGGTACTAAAATTTTTATGGCACGAATGGTTGTCGTCTCGGCGCACTCAGTGATGGGATATTCTGGTGTTTCCCTATTTTCCTCATAGAAACTGCATTTTTGCCGTTGTTTCTTAGCTTTAATCAACTGAGGGGTTCGTTGAGAAGGAGACAGTGTTCTGTTAAAATTCACGTGACAATCCAAAGATTGTTCTTACTCAAATCAAGCGGTCAAATCTTTGATTTTTCTCGGTCCTATATTCTGAGATATTTCTTCGAATGTTTTATATCGTTTAAGGATTCCCATTCCAGGTTACGGATGGAGTCTTCCAGGTTCTTGAGTTCCGCTTTAAGTTGGTCTCCACTTAGAAAGTAGAACGGTTTTGGTCCACTTAGTGGAGTGTCCCTCCTTTTCTAGCAAAATCGTTTGCTTTTCCATAGCTTTCTATCCCTTTGTGAGCTGGCACCTATAGGGTAGGAGGACTTTATTTTCTTTGCCTAACTTTTTCAGCTTCTCTAGGCTTTGGTCGGCCAACTTCGAATTGAATGACTATCAGATATTCCTCCTGTTTCCGATTGTTCCTTTCTAAGATGACACTTGTTTACCGCCTGTTTTGTTGGCATATTATAAAGTGTAATACCCTATTATATGGTATAATAATAATAACAATGGAAGTTATATATTTACTTATATATTTCGTATTCTAACAAAAATATTAAAATAATGTATACTTAAAAGTAAAATAGAATAGCTTTCTTACTTCTATTTGTGTTTATAATAAAATATAAATAATATATTTAGTTGAATTCATTTAATTGGATGTGCCACTTTTTAAAATATTTGCACCTATCTGTAAGAAAATATATAAAATAGGACCCCTATTCTTGTGTAGAGAACATTTATTTTAAAATGGAAATACTGAAAATATAAATGAAAGCTTTCAGTAGAATATCGAGATTACTGTTTTATTTTATATATCTGTGGAAAACTAGGTAATGAAATATAAAATTAGTCATATTGAAAAAAATACATGCAAAATCTGGTCGTATATTCAAAGAGAACATTGTATTTTATGTATGACAATGTTTAGCAAAGAATACTATTAATGATGATGGGTAAATAGTACCATCATTTAGCAAGATAACGGAAGTGGATATTTTTAGATTTTTCTTTTCTCAAGTTGCAAGAATAAGGACCCTAAGAACTACTTGCGGTTTCAGGCCACGGCCTTTGATTGCTTCCCCAGTAAACAATCTTTTAAACTCTTTATCAAAATAGCAATCTTGCCAGCCAGCTTTGACTTTCGGACCTCCAGCTAACAAATTTTTACCTTTTTCGACTCTTTGTTCTGAAACAAAATGACTTTGATTAAACAAAATAGATAAATATACAGACTCACCGACACAAAAAACGGACTCCTTAAAATTTCATGTATTTTAAAGTTTTATATATTGTGTTCTAGTGGACCAATTTTGAAAATCTTTTTGCCAAAAATTTCAAAGCAATTTGAAGCTAAATATTTGACTTTTAGTATCTCTTTCTAAATTAAAATAAAAGTTCCCCTCAGTCAATTATAGGGGAACACAAAATGTTGTTATTTTGGTAAAAGTTTTGGAGAAACACCCTGTAGAATATGTTAGGTTAGGTTGCTGGGGTTTGGGATCATGTATGATCCCTCACTCGGAGGCCTTGAGCCATTGCGATACCCCTGTATTGTTTTACCAAACCTTCTTCTTATTATTTCTTTGCGTTAAAGCACTTCCAGCTCTTTGCAAAGTTCCCGATGTCGCTGATGTTGGCTTCTGCTGCTTCCTCTAGTCCTCAAAAAACCTCGCCCTAAAGTTTTAAAGCGTCGGTATTCCAGTGTCGAACAGTGGCACAGCAGGTGCTCTATGGTTTCTTCTTCCTCTCCGCATTCTCTGCAGTAGTCGTCGTCGGAAACTTTCCATCTCACGAGGTTTACCCCCGTGGGACAGTTTCCAGTGACGACACCTACAATTATGCGTACTAGGTCCTTTTTGTGCTGTAGTAGTTGTTTTGTCTTTTTGCTATCTACCGCTGGCTATAGTCTTCTAGCTGCAGCGCAGTCCTCACGGTGTTGCCACGTCTCTTGCTGCTAGCTTTGATGGCAGTTCCTATAGCTTCCTTCAGTGTGTTGATCGTCATAAGTGGTGGGTCATCTGCCACGGCCTCTCCCCTGGCCCCGTCTTTGGCGAGTCTGTCTGCTTCCTGATTGTCCACCACATTGCTGTGGCCTGGCATCCAGCACAGAATAGCCCCGCCCTGACGCAGCCAGGACAGTGCTTCTCGGCATTCCATCACAATTTTCTATCTCACTGATTGCATGGTGATGATTCTTAAAGCGGCCAAGCTGTCAGAGTATATCACTATATCCCCTATTGGTCTATTAGCAATTTTCTCTCGTATACAACTAGCCGCTTCCTCTATGGCGTAAACCTCTGCTTGTAGAACATTACAGCCATCCGATAGTCTTAAAGATTGTCGGATGTCTAGTTCCTCTGAGAAGATGCCTATACCTGTGCCCCCTGAAGTTGCGGAAGCATCTGTGTAGACTGCTATCTCTTGAGTGTTCATTACTCGGTTGCTTTCCCATTCTTCTCTTGTCGGGATGCGTGTAGATATATTAAAAAAGCAAGAAACTTAAAAATCATTTCATCATCTAGGTGCATCTTTTCTGGATATTTTATTTGGTTTGGTCCCACTCAATGGACCTATGATGAGATAGTGTTTAGAATTTATGTAATGTCAGTATCCAAGAAAAATAAAGCTAACAAGATAAACCAATAATCAAACTATGGAGAAAGGATGTAACTAGATGATAAAGTAATTCTTAAATTCCTTTCTGTTTTAACATATTCTACAGGGTGTTTCAAACTTTCACCAATATCAACATTTTGTTTTCCTTTCTATAAATGTCAGATGGGAAATTTCATTTAAAATTTCGAAAGAGACACTAAAAAGTCAAATAATTCAGCTAAATATTGCTTAAAAATCACCAAATTGGCCCACTAGAACAAAATATATTAAACTTTAAAATACACGCAACTTTTAAGTTGCCCGTTTTTCTTGCCGGTGAGTGTATACTTATTAACGATATGCATATCAATACTATATTATGGAAAAGGTTTAAAAAACAGTTTTTTGTTATAAAATATTACTAACAAATATTTACTATAATAGCATTGCAGATTCTGTTCTGTCTCACAGCCTCAGCAATTACTTTTAATACTATTATACAAAATAAAGCACTCATTAGTGTAAAAGGTAAAACGGTTTAGAAGAAAGTAAAAAAAGACTGAAGAATAACTATATAGACTAAATACTAAAGAATTAGGAACCAAAAACAATATCGATATTAAGGGGTTCAACTCTCAAATAATTTGCACAAATTGCGGCAATAAATCGTAAAATGTAAACAGAAATCGTTAGTTCAAAAATTTGGTTCCAATAAAATTTGTCTCGTCTTGATTTTTAACTCAGTTTAGATATTTTATTAGTATCAATTTCAAGTGCAAATTTAATTATAGGACCGTATATGTTGCGGCGTCAGAGTTAGGTTTGCCACTTGTCCTTTTTTGAAGAGGACAGTCCTTTTTTGTCCTTTAACAAATTGTCCTTTTGACTTTTTTTGACCTAAAAAGTCCTTTTTATTCACGTATTTTCCTTGAGAAAATCAACTACAACAACCAGCAATACTCCTTTCTTCCAAATTTAATTAGACATGTTATAAAACATAAATATTTTTTTTTATTCAAACGCCACAAAAGTATTAATTTGTGTGCCATTATTTACAATTCTCCGTTTAATCTCAAATGGTTTGGCTTTATTTTTTAACCATTTTGATCTTAAAAAGAGCTTTTCAAAATTTTAAAGCTTACCCCCCTCCCTCTCCCCCGGTCCTTTTTTATAGTCCAATGTCCCTTTTTACTTTGCAAAAAGGTGGCAACCCTAGTCGGAGTGGAAGAATGATGGAGTTGGCTGCTTTTGATATTAGACCCCTGAAATAGCACCAACTAACTGAATCTCTAGGTAAAGGTGCGTTTTCACGCTGTGGCTTGTGCGTGTACGATTTGCACAAGTAACTTGTTGCATGAAAACCGAAATCGCAAACTTGCACAAGCCAAAAAGTTTGATTTGAGTGAATCTGGAGCGGCCAGATAATTTTCTTGTGGTTAGCGCAAGTGCATGAACGTATAAACGACACTCCAACTTTTTAACGCAATCGCCTACTTCCGCGCATGTCTGTAGCAGCGAATTTCGTGCCTTATTTACTTGTATCCGTGTAATCGTTTGGCTCATTTGCTAGTTCTTTAATCAAATTAATATGGAAATAGGTGTCCCTCTTTTCGATCCAAGATCTCTGGGAGGCTCTTCGTTTTTTTGGCTCCTTTAATTTTTTAATTATTAAAACACCTGCTACTGCCAGTAGTTCGTCTTCTTGGTCCATTATTCTGCACACACATCACAATAGTTGAATCGCAACTATTCAGGTTTTCTCTATTGTTCACTTGTCCATTAATTTGTGCAGTTCAAACTGAACGTTAAAACGAAGACACCAATTCAGTTCGATTTGTGCAAATTTGCATGCACAAATCAATTTGCGCAAGCTGCTTGAACGTGAAAACGGACCTTAAGTTTGAAAAGATAGATTTGCGCAAATTTTGTACAAAACGGCTTGTGCAGACAGATTTGTGCAAACTATATGAGAATAGATTCTCTTTGACCAAAAGAAAGAAGGCGGTTTAGAAACCGCCTTTTTTTGGTTTAGAAACCGCCTTTTTTTAAGATATAAGTATGTAAATAACAAAGTAAGGCCTCTGCATATCTGTAGCACATACATATGTAATTGCAATAAAATATTTTTTTCATAATTGCAGAAACATGTTTCTTTAATATTTTTTCTTCGTTTAATAAAACAACATACATTTTTGAGGTTATGCTCTTACTAAATAGCCAATAATAAATTCTGATCTAAATTTACTTACTTGGAAATGGTGAAACGTAGCCTGTGCCATTCATGTATGGCATTTCGCTGAATAAACCGACTCTCTCAACGTCGGGTCTCCCATATTTCTTTCCTAATTGCTCCATGGTGTTTATTAGATTTACTGTTCTTTTATAAATTTCCGTAGTTTCCTACTTTAATTTTTCTGACATTAATATAAAATTCAAACTTAGATGACATCATTGGCAAAAATGTCACTCATTTGTCATGTGTTACTTTAATACGAGAGATTTTACAAGGCAAAGGAAAATAATCTAGAGTTTAAAAATAGTTGTTTCTGTTGAACTATCTAAGTTACATTTTATAAATATATGTATATAAGAAATATTACAGGAAAAGAGAAATTATTTATTAAAATTAATATTTCAAATTAATTAAGTCAAGAAGTAGATCCAAATTATTTGCTATTAGCGTTATCTGCATTATATCAAATGCTTTTTACTTTTTTTTTATATTGTACAGGGTGTAAAGGGAAACACCCTTTTCTATATGATATAGACGAAAACTGATAGGAAATGTCTGATGGAGCTCAATTTTTATAAAAAAAAACATGATGGTGAAAACGAAAACCGCACATGGGTATCTGTTACCGTTTATGAGTTACGGAGTGTTTTTCAAAAATGTGCATTTTTAAAAAATCGCTGAACCGAAAACCAAACCAAACTTTTTTGCTATGGAAAGTTTTTTATTTTTATGAGAACATTTTCAAAGCACCTTTTTGCGTAGAATTTAATGGTTAAAGTATATTTTTTTTAAATTAATAATTCAAGAGTTATCAACAGAAAAATTGATTTGATTTTTATTAGGGACACGCTGTATATTTTTAATTATACGATCAAACGAACTTACCTGAAGTGAAGTTCGATCGTAATTATATGAGGCGTCCAGTCCGAATGTATTATCTTGATTTTTCTATACGTAGTACCGTCCCTGCGTGCACAATTTTAAAGCTATAAGCTAAATTCCCTCCCGCTACCAGTCTAGGTGGCGGTGCCGGCCCTGGCGCGGCGGTCGGTATTCATTTTTCAAAGATTTATTCATTAATTCAAGCGACCATGGGGCAAAACGGGAGGGTAAAAATTAAAAAGCTCTAAAAACAAACATGTTTTCCAAAGAGACATAAACATAGTGGAAAATCTTTCTTCGCAGACTTTTGATAAACAAGAGCTCAGTTTATTAAACAAAGGTTTAAAGTATGCATTGCCCAACTCTGGTAGCGCTTTGGAGGAAATCGTCGTTGGTGTTGAAACTGCTATTCAGCACTTGCCCGAGGCTTCTAAAGTATTTGCAAGAGAGGCTTGTAGAAATCAGTTATCAAAAAATATTGTTTCAAGTAATTCATTAAAATCTAACAAAGAGCACAATATTGTCAAGAGTTTGCGTAACAAAGATTGTTTCTATCTAAAAGCTGATAAGGGAAATAAGGTTGTTATATTAGATAAAAAAGACTATTATGATAAGGTTAACAACTTAATCGATAATGGCCCCTACATAAATTTGAAAAAGAATCCCTTGTCTAAGATGGTAGCAGACGTTAAAAAAACTCTAAAAGAATGTAACACCCTTATTGATCTTTCTTTAAAGAGGAAATTGCAAGTATCCAATCCCTCATTACCAAAATTGTATGCTTTGCCAAAAATTCATAAGCCGGACAAGTCTATGCGCCCAATTGTTTCGGCTGTAGGTTCTCCGACTTATAATTTGGCAAAATGGTTATCAAGGGAGTTCGAAAATTTACCTGATCATGAACCTTCTTTCTCAGTTAAAAATAATATTGAATTCATTAACAAAATTAAAGATATAACATTGCATGAAGGTGAAATTTTGGTCTCCTTTGTGTATCTTCGTTGTTCCCAAGTGCTCCAATTCCACATACTTTAGGCTATTTGAAGGAATTACTGAACGCAAATGGTCTCGACAACAAAACTGTGATTGAATATATTGAGCTTACATCGTTATGTATGAAACAAAACTGTTTTCAATTTAATAACAACTTTTTTGAACAGCGGGAAGGTACAGCAATGGGTAATCCATTGTCTCCATTTTTGGCTAATTTATTCATGAGCAGGTTTGAAGTGGAAGCTAAGAATCAGTTTAAGTATTTTCCAAGAGTATGGGTTAGGTATGTGGATGATATTTTTGTTGTTTTTGACACACATTGAGACACCATAGATAATTTTATTTCTAAGTTAAATAATCGTTTTCCTTCCATTAAATTTACGCATGAAATTGAGAACAACGACAGATTACCATTTCTAGATGTATTAGTTATTAGAAATACTAATAATTGCGTGGAATTTGATATCTATAGGAAAAATACCACACGCTGATATATTCCTAATGAATCACATCATAGTGTTGAACATAAAATGGCTAGTTTAAATTTCTTAGTTCATAGATTACTTAGTTTCCCACTTTCCAACGAAAGAAATGAAATAGAAAGAGATTACATTAGGAATGTAGCTGAGTGTAATGGATATTCTCCTTCACTAGTTGATAAATTAATTAGAAAACGTAGGTATAGCTTAATGATTTCCTGAAAATTCGACTTTTCAAGTGGAGGAAGATACGTCTAAATATTTTTCGATACCGTTTGATAGAGAGTTATCCTGTGGTCTAAAAGTAATTTTTAAGAATGTCAATTATAAACTTGTGTATAGTGCTAATAATAAATTACAACAATTATTAGGCAATACAAAGGATAAAACACCTCCACTGGAAAGGTCGGGTATTTATGAAATTTCTTGTAAGATTGTAATCAGAAATATGTTGGGCAAACTAGAAGATCAATATTAACTAGATTTAAAGAACATTTAGCTCAGATAAGATATGGTAGACCGGATAAATCTTGCGTTGCCGAACATATTGTTGATAAAGAACATTGTATAGATCTTAATAATTTAAAATTAATTAAACAAGTCTCAAATTACAAGCAATTAGATGCATATGAAAGCATCAGAATTAATAAATGTAAAGATAGTATGAACAGAGTCAACGGTCCAATTCCTTCAAGTTCTTTGTTCCTACTACTCTAGTGGCGGAAATTTAACTGTTACGCTCAGTTGGCTCTGACTCGGTTTGGCTAGATTTTGCCACGCCCACTCGGTGCCCACTGAGCGAGTATATAAACGCTCAACTTGTAGATTGTACTTTAGTTTATAATCATCTGCTGATGATGCTAACATGGTTAGCGAAACGCGCGTCCAGTGTAAAAGTAAAAGTGTTTTGGTGTATTGTGGTGATTTAGTGTTTTTATTTTGCTGTGTAACACCAAAGGTGCCAACCCTCAACTGTAATCTTAATAATTCAAGAGTTATCAACAGAAAAATTGATTTGATTTTTATTAGGAACACGCTGTATATTTTTAATTAAGTGAAAAGAACTTAAAATTACCTTTCCAAAAATATAGCACATTTGATATTTTGTTATAGTCCCCTTCGAAATACTGAATTTTTATAAGTTTGCCACTTTAAACTATATAGTAGGCTTTGGACCCCTTATTGATGATCTGCCAAAAAAACTGATACATTTTTGCAGCCAATTTCGAGAATAATTAAATAGCTAACCAAGATCCCAGTCGTTGGCCGTCGAGGTCGCCGATGCCTCTGGACTTAGTGGCTATGTATTTTTTTCTTTGCGGAAGGAATAAAGCTTCATTTTCATGCATCCGTTATACGTTGATACGATGGTCCGACGGCGCTCTGATTGGTCATAGCGTTTTCGCGCCCTTTTCATCCGTAAATATTTTACTTCAGCCCGTCAACGGATCCGTTCATACGATAACGGATGTTTTGACACTTTTGTGACAAATTTAATCTAACCTGAATAAAAATATAAGTAAAATAGCAAAATAGTTATGAAAACGAAAATATAAAATAACACCAACGTATATCCGATAAACGGAGGCATGAAAATGCAATAAATTTAAAAACTGCGTTATTTTCTAACCAATCAAGGTCTTTAAATTCTACCAATAAAATTAATATCGTATCAACGTATCGTCGGACAACGGGTGCATAAAAATCAAGCTTAAAGGTTCTTATTTTTAAATTGTCCGTAAAATCTAGACAAGAATTAGAAGTACTTAGCGGTTACGCGATGGTATCTTTCACCCCCACTGAGTAAATGCCACTGTGTTTTTAGAATACCTCTAACAATTGCTGTCTAAATATTAGCATTTCACTAAGGAACACCATGTATAATATCGGAAGATTGGTATGGCGAGGTACTGCTTCTAGACTCACCCATCTCACCTTTTAGAGCATAACCACACGACTTTAGTTACGTAATCGAAGGTGCGATTTTATATTCATTGTTGCCAACCAAAAACCTTATTATCATCGTTACATGTGTAAAAAACGGATAAAACTGGTTACAGACATTGACATGACAGCTAAAATTCCGGCAGACAACCCGAAAAAGGCATGAAATTTGACAAAAAAAATCATCGTATACATGCATGTCGATTGGTGGAATGTCATGTTTATTTATTTAAAAAGGCGTATGCGAAAGAACAAACAAAAAAATCGTGGCTCAATCAGCGGTAGACAGTTATAAAAAATGCGATATTACTCTACAGGGTGAATCTTGAATAAGTGCAAATATTTTCAGAGCTACCACTCGATAAAAGAAACATATTTTCTTTTTACCATTTTCCTGCAAATAAGTCCAAAATAACCGAGTTATTCAAGTTTTAAAATTTAAAAAGAAATTGATTTATTTTTAAATAAGTTTGTGGGACACTTGTTTTTTTTCTGTCCTTGCATTCATTATTTTAGTGTCGTAGGCATAGAGTAAAGCCGTAAGTAAGCATGATAGGTTAAGAAATTGGGCTGAAAATAGGTTAAGAAATTGGGCTAAAAAAACAGGCTGTTCTATAAAGTTCGCTAAAATATACAGGAAAATTTAAAAATAATGCACACATTTTAAAATTTCATGCCTCTTTCGCGTTGTCTGTCAGCATTTTAGCGACCAGAAAAATGCCTGCCAACAATTTTCCACGTTTCTTAATAATAAATAAAAGCTATTTTCGCAATTATAACTCGTGTACCTTATAATATTTTTAGTGTCAAAATTTCACCCTTTCGATTGGCCACCCCTGCTTTAAGCCCCGGGATCGCGCTGGCAGACATGACTATTTCATAATGGCTACACAAAAGGATACTTCACACAAAAAATTAGCCATGTAATGATGATAAGGTTTTTTATGGAGCCAGCTCTTAGACTACTGGAATTTAAATTTCCCGCTAGGGATTCAGGTAGAAGCTCAGCTCATAGATAAAAGAAAATAATCTTCTATTAAGGTAGATATAAAACTTAATAGTAAAATTTTGGGTCAAAGCGCCCCTCCGTGTTCTTAGTAGAGACTACGTTTAACCCAGCGCGTTCGCCTTTTCTGCTGTAAATATTTTTTATGTTTATATTTGATTTCAAAGGATTTAGTTTTAAAGCTACACTGATATATTAGTATATCAGAGTAACTTTAATAAAACATAAGAATATATAAATTTTACAGTTTATTAAATATAATTTTTCTTTTTTTTTTCAGTAGACATCGGGTATTGAAACGATAAATGTGTTTTATACAGAGCGATCTGCAAGGAAATACGTACGTGCTCTATAGTAAAGTGTAATGTCCAAAAACAATTAAAAACAATAGTTAATATGTGTTATTGTGTTGTCCAGTTTAACAAATTTTAACTCTGTAAGAATCTACGTTCAAGAGGCTTGAAAAAGACATATACTGTCGAAACGTCGTCACAAAATAAAAAAATAATGAACAAAATCTAGAAACATCTTTGCAACCCCAACGACCTAAAGCCAAGAGTGAAAACAATTAAATATAAATTTTGACTACAAGGTAGAAAGTAAATCACAATATTTGATAAAACTTATAAGTATACCATTTTTACAGTTAATCAATAATAAAACTATTTCTGACTATGATATTTAACATTTAGATAGATAGAATATTAAAAAACATACCGGTATTTGCAGACGCAGGCCCAAATTCAATAAAAACCAAAACTTTTCCTGCGAAAATCGGGCTTTTTTTACAGAAAAGGTATTTTTTGATTTATCAACAATCATTGTCAAGTTGACAATATACAGGGTTTTTTCTAATTAGTCTAAAAAATTGTGGTGTGATTCCTCATGTCTTCTTAAAACAATTTTTATATAACCATTAGGTCTAAAGTACTTCCTTTCTGATCTACAGCGTGTTAAAAATTAAAAAAAATCGATATTTTGCTTAACATAAATGGTACAGTACTGCTTTTTTAAAGAAAATATATTTTTTTCTTGACTGGCCATCCTTTTTCAACAAAATTGATCTTTTGAGTTTTTCTTGTTCATCAAACGGTTGCCGAGAAAAAAATAAATATACTTATTAAGAGCCCGCCTTAAGCCGTTTTCTAACGATTTTTTATTTTTTAGATTAATTAGGAAACACCCTGTATATGCATATCACAGGCAACCAAATAAACTAGTAACCTACTACTAAAGTACTAAATTGGTTTATCAAAACTTCACCATATAAGTTTCCAGGCAATGGCTCTGCTGTAAAAAATGTCAGTTGTCACATTTATTTATCAATTTCCTGACATTGCCATTCGTTTTGACACTTTAGTTTTGTATTACGAGATTTTGGTTTAAATGGACTAGTAGACCTTGTAGTCGAAAATTGTTGTTTTTAGAACCTCTAAACTCAAAATGGACCCGTATAAAACCCATACGAAAACTGGGATTTAAAAGAAATAAATAAACAACAAAAATCAATTATTCTAGAAGAGAAAAATATATCTACATCGATAAATAAAAATATATGTAATTTGGCAAACCCATGCTAGACCTATCAGACCTAGGAGACATATCGCCCTCAGACATAACGGCCTATATTAGGAGGCTGGGTCTTGAGGGTGAACTTTGACGCTCTTGTAAATTAGAGCGTGTAGAAACTGAGCCACAATAGGCCCTCGCGGCCTCAGTGGAGGGTCCCCCCATGGTACCCACTCTTAGTCAATACAATACAATACAATACAAATCCTTTAGTATAGTCATGTCTACCAGCGCGATCACGGGGCTTAAAGCAGGGGCGGCCAATCGAAAGGGTGAAATTTTGATACTAAAAATATTATAAGGTACACGTGTTATTATTGCGAACATAGCTTTTATTTATTATTAAAAAACGTGTAAAACTGTTGACAGACATTGACATGACAGCTAAAATTCCGGCAGACAACCCGAAAGAGGCATGAAATTTGACAAAAAAAATCATCGCATACATGCATGTCGATTGGTGGAATGTCATGTTTATTTATTTAAAAAGGCGTATGCGAAAGAACAAACAAAACAATCGTGGCCCAATCAGCGGTAGACAGTTATAAAAAATGCGATATTACACTACAGGGTGAATCTTGAATAAGTGCAAATATTTTCAGAGCTACCACTCGATAAAAGAAACATATTTTCTTTTTACCGTTTTCCTGCAAATAAGTCCAAAATAACCGAGTTATTCAAGTTTTAAAATTTAAAAAGAAATTGATTTATTTTTAAATAAGTTTGTGGGACACTTGTTTTTTTTCTGTCCTTGCATCCATTATTTTAGTGTCGTAGCCATAGAGTAAAGCCGTAAGTAAGCATGATAGGTTAAGAAATTGGGCTGAAAATAGGTTAAGAAATTGGGCTAAAAAAACAGGCTGTTCTAAAAAGTTTGCTAAAATATACAGGAAAATTTAAAAATAATGCACGATTTTCTACATCTTTTGTCCTGGGGTCGAAATATATCAGCACCCTTACTCTGTGTAAGCGTTTTCAGGAAACGCTGACCGCGTTATCAATTGAAACATAATACCTGTAGGTAATCTATAAAAATTTTACGGTGCAGATATCGACTCAGAGGAAGACTCGTTTGTGAAAGCGGGGATCTGCAGTACGATGAGTCAGATACAAATAGTGAGACAGAATAGTAAATGTATGATATCTGTTTTGAAATAATAACAAAATATATTTATAATATAATCGTATACATGACTTATTTATACTCAAATGGATGAGGCGGCGAGCGTTCCCTGAAAGCGCTAGAGTAATATCGCACTTTTGATAACAGTCTGTAGCTGATTTAGCCACGATATTTTTGTCTGCCCTTTTGCATACGGCTTTTAAAACAAATAAATATGACATTCCACCAATCGGCATGCATGTATGCCATATTTTTTTTTCATTATTCAAATTTCATTTTTTAATAATTTTCCAGATAATTTTTAAAATTTCATGCCTCTTTCGCGTTGTCTGTCAGCATTTTAGCGACCAGAAAAATGTCTGCCAACAATTTTCCACGTTTCTTAATAATAAATAAAAGCTATTTTCGCAATTATAACTCGTGTACCTTATAATATTTTTAGTGTCAAAATGTCACCCTTTCGATTGGCCACCCCCGCTTTAAGCCCCGGGATCGCGCTAGCAGACATGACTATTTCATAATGGCTACACAAAAGGATACTTCACACAAAAAATTAGCCATGTAACGATGATAAGGTTCTTTTATGTAGCCAGCTCTTAGACTACTGGAATTTAAATTTCCCGCTGGGGATTCAGGTAGAAGCTCTGTTGTAAAAAATGTCAGTTGTCACATTTATTTATTAATTTCCTGACATTGCCATTCGTTTTGACACTTTAGTTTTGTATTACGAGTTTTTGGTTTAAATGGATTTTGCTGTGATACTTAAAGCTTAAAATTGTTTACTAGTAGACCTTGTAATCGAAAATTGTTGTTTTTAGAACTTCTAAACTCAAAATGGACCCGAATAAAACCCATACGAAAACTGGGATTTAAAAGAAATAAATAAACAACAAAAATCAACTATTCTAGAAGGGAAAAATATACATCGATAAATAAAAATATATGTAATTTGTAAGAAGGTGGACAATTCTGCCTTATGGACCAAGAAAATGCCAAGAAAATAAACGGAGTCAGATAGTCAGAAGTGAGACAATGGGGTCAAACAATGGTCAGAATGAATGGAGAAAAAGACATTCTTGTATTGAATAGTTTATTTTTAAAATAATAGAAAAGTTGCTTTCAAAAACAATGCTATACTTATCACAAATATTTCTTCTTAGATCTAATAAGCATATTTCCATCTACGTAAATAACAACAAACATGTATAATAAAAGTAAAACTGTCAAAAATTTCATACCACAGTCAATATATCTTAACATAAAATACTAAAATATCTAAAATAAAAACAGGTCACTTAATCTATTTCAAAATCACAGTTAGAAAAGCATCACAAAACATTAGCCAAAATGTCTTAACGCTTTTTTCCTATTACGTTGAAATCTTAATCGTTAAAAGCGTTAAAGCAAGTCGACTCATGTCGAGAGATAGCTCTCCGTTCATAGCTTGGAACTGCCACTCTAGGGATATGAACCGTTCCTACGGAACGATATGCAGGGCGTTCGGCCCTTAAGAAATCCTCTACCTGTCATAGTGAGGCTTTCTAGCTCTGACTTTCGGCGGCAAATGCTTTAACTATAGCAGAGATACTTTCGTAGCTGCCCGTTACCATTCCTATCACCCCAATCAGGATTATGATTGAGTCTTTGGTGATGGACCATGTGGACGATTCCTCGAATGCGGTGGATATGACGATGTTTAAGAGAGGTGGGAAGATTAGAGCTAGGGCCGCACTACTTACAGCACCTACTAGTGAAATAAAAAGTCCAAGGAATGGTATAGCTTCGGCCATTATAACTAAAACAGAAAGATGTGTTAGATTCAGATGCTTTAGGTAAACAAATTGTCTTATGTGTTAAAAGTAAAATTAATTGTAATTTTCGTAATTGTGTTTCTAAATTAAAAACTAATGATAATACTACTATAAAAATAGATCATTTAGGATTAATATTAATTTGACAAATTTTATTTCCCAAATTTACCCAACTATTTATACAACTATAACTAAAGAAATATACAGAATAAACGAACTATATCGACAATGTTAGTATCTCTACTCTTTACATATTTGGTTAGATATTTAAAAATAATGTCAATATTCCATGGGTATATTATATTGATAAAGGGGGGGGGGAGGTCCAAATTATAATAAAATGCATTTTCTACGAAAACTTGAAGATATAGGTAAAAAATGGCAAAATACAACTTGATAGACAATTAAATTGTCCATCTGATTCTCATAAAATATACAGGGTGTTCCATTTAAATTAAACAAGTTATTGCCGTTAAAGCTAGTAATTATTTAAAATAAATTTTTAAATAATAATTAAATAATTAAAGGTAGTATAATTTTTATTATTGCAACACAAAATTGAGTGAATAGAAATACTTCAGTATAATATTTGGTTTTAAAAACTTAAATACGCCTATAGAGAAATGAAGCATTAAAATTATTATTGTATTTTGACACAAACCCAAATATTTCAAAAACAGTAAGATGAAAATGCGGTAAACCTTCCATTTAAAAAAGTACAACATTGATATTTTTTATTTATTTGGACCATCTTGGAAAAATACTTTTAAATTGTAGCTGTAATAGTCCTTCAGCGAGCCCAAAACTTACAAATTGCAAAAATCTAATTGTTTTGCTACAATAATCCGTGTTGTATGTGGTGAACAACCCTGTATATAGAACGTATAGAAGAATGTATATAGAAGTATATAGGACAATGTAACAACAAAAAAATACAAAAAAGCCCAGCACTTTTTCAAAAAATCATATGCTCTACAACAGAAATCCAAATAAAAGTTGCAATAGTACATATTGGGATTTCGGAAACCATTATAATAAATATTGTTTTATAACTACTTACAAGTGATCAAAACGAGGAATGATCTGAAAGTTAGTTCAGCAAACACAGGATACTTCACGTTGGGTCCTAAGAGTTTCAAAATATTCGGCCAAATGATGTCGACGGCGATGTAGAATTGAAGGGCGTAAGTCAACAAGATGCCACAGGGAATGATTACTTTCACTGATTGGGCTAATCTATAAATATAAACAAGATAATTAGTATTTTTGCTTACTAAACTCTCAGTGTATATGCATGCCTGGTTCTGGTTATACTAAATCAATAGTCTGCATTTTAACATATACAGTGTGGTCCGAACTGTATTCCGGAAACTTCGGCAACATATTCTGCAGATAAAAAAAAAAGTAATAAAGTTCATATAAATATATGTCCTAAAATGCTTAGTTTCGGAGATACAGGGTGTTGAAATTTCATTTTTATTTCGATTTTTTCCAAATAATTTCTGAAGCAATAGCAACATTTGGATGAAAATTGGTGTCTGGGAGTTTTTTGACATGATAAATTTCATTTTGATGTCAATATGGCTCCTACTAGTATAGGGCGCCACCTACATATTTTTTAAACGGTTTGAAGAGTAATAACTTTCCGTGCGTACCTGTATAAAATTACTGAGTAAAAAAATATATATTTACGACGTTTTTTACGTAAAAAAGCTCTCTTGGTAAAAATCACTGCGAGAAACCGTTTAGAATGGAAATAGTTAATACATGTCATTATTGACGAAAAAATAAACATGTTGAGTAGATTGTTATGTGACTGAAATAATAAATTTGGGAAATTTTTATTTTTTCAAATTAATCATAAAATTTTCTTCGACAAAATGATGATAAAACAGTTTTGATAAAAAAAATTACGATAAAAAACTTTTGGTTTAAAAAAAATCCAAATTTATGATTTCAGTCTAATAATTAGTTAGTCAACATGTTTAATTTATGTCAATGATGCCAGGTATTGACAATTTCTATTCCAAATATCGCGGGGACCGTTAGTCGTAGCGATTTTTACCAAGAGACTTTTTTAACATAAAAAACGTCATAAATATATACTAAGGGCTGGCAACGGTTAGTCTTGGGTCGAGATTTCCGTATGTAAGAAGAGTACAATGCGTTTATAATGTACTGAACAAAGAGAGGACAGTAAACACGTTGCCAAACGTATGAAATAAACCGAGAAACTGTGCACATCGCTAAGAGACGTGGAAGGGGATATAGCAGATTTGTCGCAGTTCACCGGTCGACCCAATCAATACCTCTGTCAGTACTTAAAGTTCTAGGGAAAGGTGTACGTCATGCGTTCAGCTTCACGATTTAAATACGTCTCGTGATACTTGATTTGATTATTTATTAACGAGTCGTTGTCATTTTCCTTATAGCTTGAATTTTTTTAAGTGCAAGCTAGAAACACTTGCATTTTTGGTAAAAATAAGTACAATTGAGTGGGTGTTCAATAGTGGTCGCTCTATTAGAACTCTGAATGCAAAAATCGATATCTCAAAATCTATTAGAAATAATAGATTGTAGTTTATTCAAGAACTTTGTTAATATTTCTGCTGTATTTTCTTTGTAGACAGTATGTGAAAATCTTTATCAATAAAAAAATTACACGATTGCTGAAAATTGCTATGCTCTAAAAGTAAATGGATGGATTGTTTACAATTATTGAATGGAAAAAACAACCTTATCGAATTTTTCTTATGTAAATATATTGTAAAACATCCGATCTTGAAAATAAAAAAAAGTTTCAATATCTAAAGTGGGTCTTGAGTTATGGCCTGTTATGTGTTAAAAAGTTGAGTTTTAAATTATCGTGATTACTGACGTTTTCTCGTTATAAAAAAAATGACACCTTAACGATATCCTTATAATTCCATTTCAGATGCTCAGAAACAAGTCTAATTATTTTATGTAGTTATCTCTTGAAAAAAAGTCTTTTAAAAATAAGCGGCTTGCGATCGTGATTTTACTTTACTTGATAGGGAAAGGCGTATCGGCAACGCCGCAACAGCACAACGTCGCGCGTCGCCTCGGTCGGTCGCATTTCTCTCACTCCGACTTAATACGATCCCTATGCGATTTACTTCCACACATGTAAATGCCGACCCAAAAGTAACTGTTGTATACAGGTACGGACGAAAAGTTATTACTCTTCAAACTGGTTAAAAAATGTGTAGGTGGCGTCCTCTACAAGTAAGAGCCATATTGACATCAAAATTAAATTTCTCATGTCAAAGATCTCCCAGACACCAATTTTCATCCAAATATTGACGTTACTTCAGAAATTATTTGGAAAAAATCGATATAAAAATGAAACTTCAACATCCTGTACTTCCGAAACTAAGCATTTCAGGACATATATTTCTACGAACATTTTTACTTATTTTTATCTGCAGAATATGCTGCCGAAGTTTCCGGAATACTGTTCGGACCACCCTGTAGATAATGATGGAGATAACATAATGTAAAAGTACCGTATTACCGAATAAAAACGGCGTCCAGATGGCTTGTAAATGACGATCGATGACATTTCCCATATAATTTTACGTATAGTACGACAGCGATCTCATTTCATAGCCATCGCTGACACCGGTTTATCATCATATTGTACCATACGATCGAAAAAAAAATCGGCGTCAAAGCCGCCTGAGGAATGACACTCGACAATAATATTGGCGAGGTCAAACCCTAGACGTCATTTACTTGACTCGTACTCTTCTTTATTTTTTAACGGCGCTTACTGCCAGTTGGCCTTAAAAAGGTTGTAATTTATTTTTATTTTTAAATGTTGAAGTTTAAATTTCGATAAAAAATTGATTAAAATTTAGTGTTATTATAGAAAATAGCCATGACACTTTAGATTAAAATTTTAAAATCAATTTTGTTTTAAGCAAAAATGTCAAAAGTTGACTATGATATAGTAAAAAATACCGAGGGTGCTATTTAAAAATCAAAAGTTGTAGTCATTTCCGGTAAAACAGGAAGTGGCCGAAAAGAATTGAATACCGTCAATCAATCCTTACTAACACACCAAATATCTTTTTTTTATCTATTTATTTAATTATTTTATTTAATAATTTCATTTGATATTTTATTCCCTTGTTTTAGTAATGAAGAAATACTATAGAAAGGTCTCTTGTAAAACAGATATTACTTAAAGATATACAAAGTATACTTACACTTCTTCAGCTGGAAGATTTAGCGTAACACTTCCCTTGATGCCGTCACCGTATTTCACATAAGCTAAACATCCAACAATAAGGTACATGGCCGTTACGATCACCATACCGACATTCAGCACTCCAGCAGGTCTGCTAAATTTTCTAGGTTCTCTCATTTCATTTTGCAAAGGTAAAACCTAAGAAATACTGACATTATAAACCACATGAATGTTTAAAAATATAAAATAATGTTTAAGCCTTTGTGGCGGGTTCATTTTTTGAAAAAAATTCTGGGTTTCTAATGTATGGCTATCGCTTCTTTGGTTTTAATAAACATAAAATAAATAAACATAACATAAGTAATAATCAAAAACATACTACAAATAATCATATACAGGAAGTTTTAAGCTTTTTGGTTTTACCTCATTTAGTAATTATTATCAGGTACTTAGTTGTTACTTTCAAGTTTGACTTCATATCACATGCCATTTTAACAGAACGTCAACGGTTTATAATATACATATCTCTTAAAAAATAAAGTGTTCTTGAATAATAATATTTTAAATATTATATAAAGGGTGCTACAAATTCGAGGTACGTGCATTGCTATCTCGGAAACCGTAATAGATACAAAGACGGTTAAATTGGGGCAAAGTTGCGCCTTGGATTGTTCACCAACATGCTATCAAAGAAGTTTCAAAAATTTCACTTATTACTGAGCTTTTTGAGAAAAACGGATTTTTTTTGTAAATAAATTTTATTTTTTCCTGTTGTTATTTTTTTCGAAAATCTACTAACTAATTACACATTCTCATAGCCACTTTATTAGGGCTATCTGATAGTATTTTTAAATTTTGAAATTAGCTAATAATTGGTGAGATACATAGGTCAACTTAATTTTTTCAAATACGGACATGTATTTTTTGTTTGAATCTATGCAAAAATTAAAATCTCCTGAGTACAACATGCCACATTTATATATTTTTTTTTGTTTTGGGTAATTTAAGAACAACTAAACTATTTAATTATTATTTAAAATAATTTCAAGTCCGACTTTGTTTTTTTATATTATTTAAATTGATTATATTCATTGCAAAAATAACGATTGATAAGTAATTTAAATATATTATTTTTAACTTTTTTATTGTGAATTTGAAATCTCAATGTACGATCTAATAATATGCAAAATATTAATCGTAGTTATTATAAATATATCAAGCTCTACAATCTAGTTTCTAATGCTCTATATGTTCGAAAGGGTTTCCACTCTCCCTATTGCATATATTTATTTTTCGTTCAATTTTATGTACCGTATGATTGAAAAAAACCGGTGTCCAGTTGGCTGGGAAATGACGATCGATGACATTTCCCATGTCATTTTACATATAAAATGACAGCGATCTTTATTTCATAGCCACTGACGCCATTTTTTTCGATATAACAACAATATTTTTTTTTCAATAGATCTTCTTATACTTCCGAATGCATTTTGTACTCTTTTTTGTAAATATTGAGGTGTATTGATATCACCTTTACAAATGACGTCAAGTAATCGATGCCCTCCGCCTTTGGCGACAAGTCCAGGAAGAACAGAGAAGGCTCGCTGGCCATTATACTACTCAACCATTTCCAATCCATCTTCCGGGGAAATTATTTGTTTGTTTATATTTTATTATATTATATTATGTTATTGTATTTGATTTTCCGTATTCAATGTTTTACCCCAAGTCATTTTTAAGTTTTAAATCTCATCAATATTGTAATATTGAATAAATTAAATATTAAAAAAAAAGAGCCAGACTTGAAATTAGCTTAAATAATTTGTGTTTAAATGCCCAAAATAATATTAAGTGTGGCATATCATTGTACTCAGGTGACCGAATTCTTTCAAAACCTCAAATAAAAAATGCAGGTCCATATTAAAAAAATAAGTTGGCCTATGTATAGGTACTATATGTTTTTTTTCCAAATAAAAGTTAATTCTCACTATATCTTCCATATCAGCTCCCTTCCGTTTACATAAAATATTATATCGTGTAAATAAATAGGACAATGCACACTATCCGTTCCGTTTCCCTTCCGTTCCATATCTTTTCCTTCCATACATTTTTTTGGTGGACGGACTGAAGCGCATCGGAAACAGCGATGTCAATTTCTTACATCTGTAGCAGCTCTGTTAACATATTGCTGATATTTATTTATTCTTTCACCTCTTAATTAAATCTATTACCTTTTTCAAAAGATTCAAATTTTTAAAATCAAACTTTCGTAATGATATAAATTGTACAATAAAAAGTATGGAACTGATACAGAACGGAAGCTTTCGTATAGCGTCACTACAATAAAAAATACGGAACGGATTTGGAATGGATATGGAATGTAAACGGAAGGTATAGTGAGAATCAACCTTAACTCAGCAATTTTTAAAACTGTTTTGATGACATCTTGGTGAACATCCCAAAGCGCAACTTTGTCTTAATTTAACCGTGTTCTATTACGGTTACTGAGGTAACAATGCTTGTACCTCGAATTTGTAGCACCCTGTATAGAAATATTTTAAATATTTTTTTTTGCTTTGTTCTTGGTGTTTTGGGCTTCTAAGAACGGGAGGACATTTTTTCTAGTGGCGAAAAACCCAGACTTCATTTTAAGGATAAATTTATATTTCATACAATGACATGGCCAAAATACTTGAATCAATTGATCAAACTCAGCTCAAACTTTTTCTCTATATTAGGATAAAATAGAATTCTGTAAACTGTATTTTCTGTCATTTTTTGGATGTCTGTCAAAATATTCCCTAACTCATTGGACAGACTTTATTAATAATTTCAAAAATGCTTACCAGTCCGATTCCTTCAAAGGCATAGATTGCTGTGCCGAAGAACAGGGGCAATTGTTGCCAGTCAGCAATATAACGTCTTTCGCTGATGTCAGGTAAGTCTTGTGCTGAATAGTAAATAACAATCACGATTCCAATACTCATGAGGACGTTGGCCAACGTTGAGAACGGGGCAAGATATTTCAAGTTTCTTATCAGTGCGGTCAACAAAATGGGCAATAGGATTATTGCCATGTGTAGATGGACGTCTAGGACATAACCATAATAGTCTAAAAGCTGAAACCAAATATTTTATTATAATTAATTTAAAAAGGGGATGTTTTAAAATAAATCTTAAGTAATCATCTGTTGATTACTTCAAAATAAATAGTCACGACAGTTAAAATTGTTCCTATTTGTCGGATCTGGCTCAAAATAAAACTCAGGTTTGTTATTTAGTGATTGGTCGACATTTTGATAAATATATTGTCTTCTTTAGTACTACACTTATATAAAATTCTTCGTTACATTCCTTAAATATATTTCCTGCAAAAAATCTCTCTCAGAAACCAAATATTGTCAAAATGCGGGAAATTTAGAAAATGTTACTTTCTTTCTGGAGGAATCTCCTCTAACACTTTAGCTCGGTCTAAAGGACGGTCCACACTTGCTATATAACACTGCTATATAGCAAAGTTATATAACATGTTACATATTTTAGTCATATTTAGCAAATTTCGCTGCTATATAACTTGCTACATGTTATCCATTTGTAGTCGGTAAACATCAAAAGATGATGCTCAACACTGCTATTGTAACATGAAACAATGCGTCCAGACTTGCTAAATTTCTACTTTAGCCGCTCATATCTTCAGGGACATGCGCGACAGAACCTTGGTATGGTGAGCTAATATTGGGTTTGTTTATTTACTGGTCAATAATACCGTATGATCGAAAAAAAACTGCGCCGAGTCGATGACATTCCCAATATAATTTTTCATATAAAATGACAGTGATCTTCATTTCATACCCATCGCTGACGCCATTTTTTGCGATTATATGGTTCTTATACATAGAGAAAGATAGTAAAAAGCTTGAACTTATAGTAAAGTAAAACTTTTTATTACTTTATGTTCTTATATTGTTAATGAAGTAGAGCCAAGAGCAGACTTGTCAACTAATTAAGTTGTATAGAGATCATACAGTGTTATGGGATATCCGTAGTCCATCATTTAAAGTGAAATAAAAAAAAGCATAATGCATGGTTAAAAATTGCAAAAAGTATGTATTTGGAAAGAGAAAAAGTTGAGAAAAAAATGCGTTATCTAATAGGCCAGTTCCAGAGGGAACAAAATAAATGCAAATCAGGTACTGGTTTAGACGAAGTGGATAATTCAAAATGGTTTGCTTTTAAGTTATTAATGTTTTTAAAAGACAGAAACACACCACGAGAAACAGCCGAGGCAGGTATTGAAAAGGAAAGCTAATTGAGTTCAACTACATATAGATCTATCTTGTAGGCTATGGCGGACTCAAAACCGCTTTTTTTCTCGCCTTTCTTTCTCTTTCTTCAAAAATAATTACGCACGCCGCTGCTGCTAGCAGACCGTTTTTCTCACCAAAACGATTCATGATTACGAAAACTATAATTTGGACGGATCCCGGTTTTTTAGCATGTAATATTGCTTGTTAAATAGCAATGTTATATAACATGTTACTAAATGTGGACGCTTCTTGCTGGTAGGCTATGGCGGACTAAAAACCGTTTTTTTTTTCTCGACTTTCCTTCTCTTTGTTTAAAAATAATTACGCACGCCGCTGCACAGTGCTTCGTCCCATGGACAAAAATCAAAAAATAAGTTAAAATTTACTAATATCTGAATATATAATTTTATACTTATAGCAATGTTCAACCATCCTGTATATTATTTTTCATAAACAGCGTTTTTGTTAGCAAATATTTTCACTAAAAATAAATTTTGCGATCATTATCTCATCAGTGAAAAGAATAACATTCATAGTAGTTCTGTATATTATGAAGTTAAACGGGTATGTACTTAATTGAAAGCCACTATGGATATTGTTAAACAAGGTATGTACTTTAAATTTATTTCTAAACAAGTTCGTGATTGTTTAGTTCTTATTTATTTTTTAAGATGATTCTTAAATGGGTATAAAAATTTTACGTTTTCAAACTTCAAAAAGGCATTTAAAAAAAACATATCAAAACATATCGTATTTATTGAATATTTTTGTTCCCATATTCATACACTTTTAATTTTTGTATAGTTCACCTGCGTCTGCTTGCGACGAACTTTATTTTATAATACTTTTCAGATGGAGTAAAATTGATAAGCAATGCCGATCTGGCTAATACTTGGCTTGATCATAAAGACAAGAACTCAAAATTATTTGTATTTCAAAAAATATGTTCTTATTAGATATTGATGAACCTTCCAGTCAAATGAGACACCACTGGTGCCTGAAAAAGTCCACTATGTTGGAGCGAAACGTCGCATAAAAAAAGTGTCCATCTTTCAATTTATTATATAATCTCATACCCAAGAAAAGGAAAAAATAATATATGGATATGCTGTATTAAAGAGGTAACTATTAACATCCGAACCCCTCATAGCGACAAAATGAACAGTAACAACGCGAAAAAGTAACATATTAGAAAATGATGTACAGAAATATCTTATATGTGAGGATACTTCATCTACCTGATTTGGATACTATAAATTTGGAAGATTCTGTCAGCAGTAATTCTTCTGAATCAAAGTAGTTACGATCTATGCATTTTGTTGTCCTAAAGTAAATTTATAGTATCTTAAGTTTTTTTTTTAATTAAATATAACATTAATGTTTCTTTTTCATTAAACAAAAACATTTTTATCTTATCTTACGTATTAGGCTTATATTGTAGGAATCATGTTCTAATGTTATTTCAATTCTTTTTTATCACAGGAATTTATTTAATACTTACACCGTTTTCATACTATAAATTATTATTTGCTTAGATGGAACACAGCTCCAATATTTTTATTATTTATTAGATTTTTTTTCATAAACGTGGGACTAAGAACATCATCAATTAGTACAATGAGAGTACTCATCATTTGTGTCAAATAAACCTAGTTTGAATAAATTGCTTACAATAAAAGAGAAGTTTTGGATTTTTGTCCTCTAGAGCCATATGTTCGAAGCACTGTGCGCTGCTGCGAGCTGAACCTCTTTCTCACCAAAACGATTCATGATTACGAAAACTATAATGTGGACGGCTCCCGGTTTTTTAACATGTGATATGTAGCTTATTAAATAGCAATGTTATATAACATGTTACAAAATGTGGACCCTCCTTAAGAAGCATCTCATTGTCTTGTCTGGCTGTAGTGTCGTGGCCAGGGAATTGCACCAAGACATATAACGATGCCGGACGGGGCTACCCCTGTCCGTCATACCAGGCACCCTCTACTCTCTGTGGTCATGTTTCGCGGGTAGGGTGTGTGGGGGGCCTTGGCTTAACCGCCTGGACCAAGAGGAGACAACCTCACCAAAAACCTAAATCCTACGATGGCGGGACTAGGTCAAAGGGATGCGTGGCTAGATATAGGACTAGCCATTACTGGCCTCAACTTTGGGGCATCAGGGGCACCCCATTGTGAGTTTACCCCTTACTTCTGCATGCGGGCTCTGCAGAAGTGTACTGACTATCCCTAGCGACCCGTGGGAACATTACAAATGAAAGTTCCAAGGGAACAAATCCAAACCAAACAGGAGGGGCGGCTGACACTTGCTTGGGATCATCCTCCACAAGTGGCACACAAGCTACCACCTTCTCCAGCAAGGATCGGGAGCCTACCTCTAACCCATGCTAAGACCCAATAAGCGACATAAGCTACCGTTTCGTCTACCTGGCCTGGGTCAACCAGGCGGGCTACAACCAGACGATCCTCTGAGAGTAGGTCTTAGCGGAGCAGAAGCACGGAGATACCCCCCCCCGACTGCTCCACAAAGGACTTGCTCCAGAGGAAGCAAAAGCGAAAACACTCCTCCGAAAAGGGGAGAGTAAAGAAACCAAGAAACAACCTGACTCATCTCTATCAAAGAGCAAGAGAGGGAGTGAGAACCTCTCACCTCTTCTCCGACAGGGAGAGAAAAAAGCCAGGATGGAAAGCCCTCCAACACCGGGAGCCAAGCATGGACGTATCACCCGCTTTGCCACTATTGCTGGACAAGTGAAAATGGCAGTGCTGCCAAAGGATTTCCCAGGGGTTCCTCGGACCACCGACCAGCAAACGTCTCTAGAAGAGGCTATACTGGACGGAGTAGTAGCGATCGGATCGCAACACAACGATCTACAAAATGTGGGTCAGCTGCGTTTTGCGGGGATACACTTTCGGGTGAGCATGATCCTCATAGATTGTGTATCTCAAGAATCGGCGAATTGGTTGGTGGAAATCGCACACCTAAGCTTAAAAATTGGCAAGAGCCGGAACTGGTAGCAGTGAAGGGAGAAAACATCCCTAAAAGGGCGGCCATAACGGTCTTTCTGCCGAGGAGCAAGGACAAAGACACCACCTATCTGCTGAGCCTTATCCAAGGTCAGAACTTCAATGTCTTCTTCAACATCGAGTTGGCGTGTAACTCGAGGGAGGAGAGTCATGGTCAGGTCTTCACGATAGAAATTGACCTCAAATCCAAGGAGGCAATAGAGAAAGAGTGACATATCCTCTATTATAGATACTGGACAACAATGGTATCAGGTCTAAGGAGAGACCAAACTAAAGAGGTGGAGAAAATGGAGACAGGTCCTCCAGCCTCCACCTCATGGGTTCCTCAGCCGGAGGCAAGCTCCCCGACTAACGGTAGGCACGGAGGGCCAAACTCCAACCGTGGAAGGGTGTGTACCCTCTGAGGAAGAGCTGTTGTCAGAGGAGGATGGGAAATACCCTGTCCCCTCTACAACAGGGGTATGATGGGTTATAGATTGTGTAATGACTCAAGCACAAATTACCTATAACAGATGCGAAAGAACACCGAATTACGCGTTCAGGTTTCTGTGACCTTCAGAAAGAGTTTATAGACAATCCGCATCAATGTATAGTTTGGGTTATTATTTGTTTGGGTGAAAATAATCTGCACCAATATGTTATCGAGGCATACAAAAAGGTCCACAGACTTCGAGATATACGAAAAATCAAGTCCATTTAGCGTGTGTCGCAATTTTCTCACCTTAAAAAATTAGTTTTTTATAGCTATAGCAACTGCAGCGACTATGAAAAAAGCTGTGTGATTTTCATAGAAAATAAGGGCACCTGTAATTCATTTGAGAATGTTATAAATCGCTAAAAGAGGTTTCAAATCTCTTGGATTTCTATTAATATTAAATAAATGTTATTAAAAATTGAACTAAAATTGTTAGTATCATTAAAAACAATTCAAATTCAAAAATTGTATCAGTCAAATTTCCTCATTTAAGGTGAATATTAAAGTAAATATAAAAACAGCTCATTCTAAGCTCTACTTATCTTTAAGAAAAATTTAAATCATTGTTGCAATTGGGCCTTAATGCCATTTCGAATGAACAATAGTATTAATAATGTACATTATAATAATAATAAATTTTATATCATAGTGTGTATTAAAACTACCAAAACACTTTTAAATTGGTATTATATTAACAACTTTTGTTTTTTAATCCAAAAAAAAGTTACCAATTTTCTCAATCAAAATATTTGTGGTCCTGAAAAGGACCTTCGTTTTCCCATGTTCGTCAAGGTAGGTAATGGGTAAACGGTAAAAAAACAGGATAATGAAATTTAAAAAATTACAAAAATTGTTCAAAAGTGCCTCCCTCTTGCATTAAACAATAACCCAAACGATCATAAAATCCCCTCCTCACATTGGATAACATATCAGGGGTGACAGTGTCAAAGGCATTAAATATTTTCTGCCTTAACTGCTCCAAGTTTTGAATTTCTTCATGGCCGTAAATTTTAGATTTTATGTACCCCCATAAAAAGAAATCATTCACCGAGAAGTCAGGTGAAATTAAACGTCAGTCTAAACAAAACTGTCATTTTTGAAAACTTGTCAAAATTTGGACACACGCTAAATGGACTTGATTTTCCTATGTCTCGAAGTCTGTGGACTTTTCTGTATAATCTCACAGTAATTTAATAGATTGCTCGTCATATTATATCAGCTCGTAGGAGATTAGGAAAAAAAAAGATATTTATAGTATAAAAAATTAATTTATTTAACAAAATTTAATTAAAGATGTGACAAAATAGTTACATTTCTATTGGTTCTATCGGACTTTTTTCGACTATATAAATCTTTATTTTTTGTAAATTTTAATGCATAAAATATTTTCAATCTAATAAATAATTTAATGATGTATATAAGAGGAAATTTCTCACATGGGTGGTCAAATTCTATAGTTTTCATTATATCAAACAGCCTCTCATGTTTTCTTCAGTGCAAAACTCATCAAAATTTAATATAAATAATTTTTCCAGTTTCATGATCAAAGGCTTTTAAATGGGTAAATAATTTCGAGTTATTCAAAGATTCGGATTCTTTTGCAAATTTTAGACAAATATCACATTGATGTATTTAAAGACCCTTTTTAATGATGTAGTCAAACATAATTAAAGGCATTTTGAGTTGAAACCATTTCTCAGAGGCTGTTTGATATAATGAAAACTATAAAATTTGACCACCCATGTGAGAAATTTCCTCTTATTTATATCATTAAATGATTTATTAGATTGAAATATTTGATGTATTAAAGTTTACAAATAAAGATTTATATAGTCGAAAAAAGTCCGATAGAACCAATAGAAAGGTAACTATTTTGTCACATTTTTAATTAAATTTTGTTAAATAAATTAATTTTTTATACTATAAATATCTTTTTCTTCCTTATAAATAAACACATTTGCATCCCATTTTAAATAAGATATACAAATTACCAAAACATAGAAATAACAGTTCAAAAGTTCAACAAAAATCCTACACGCGTTTTTAAAAAGAAACATATAACCACGCACTATGTCATTCCAGCAAGCGAATACGACACAGCATAGGTTTCCGGACTAAACGACTGGTGTATTTACACCTTATTTACACCACTCAATAGGCGTGTCGGGTTTGCCGAGCGGTTTCCGATGCAGTCGCTTTCTTTCGCATCTGTTATAGCTTTGGTTATAGGTAATTTGTGACTCAAGGAAGGGGGGCACAATAGATCTTTAAGGTCGCAGTGATTAACCCCCCTCTTACTCATTCTACATTCATTCTACAATGCCGTAATATCAGGGTAATGAAAATTTATTCCTTATTAACGGACATTATTTTTATTTTTAATTTATCCCAGCTGATCATTTAAGAGGTATTTTTTTATTCTTTATAAATATTTATCTATTATAAGACTAGTTCCTTATTCGCACCGATTAATAACATAATCTAACAAGTTCATTAACTCATGACATGCTAAAAATCAAATCAGAGAAATTATAGTTTATATGGAATTCCCTACAAAAAAATAAGCCCGAAAGGATTTCAATCTTAATTTGTTATGACGGCTCAAGTGAAATTATATTCAAATAATATAAACCAGTTTTTCAAAAACCTTACCTGTTTGATATTGTCCGAAATAAAAACAAAGTAGACGCAACAGAATCCCAGCTGAGTGACACACAAAAACACGTTTACAGTTCTCCTCATCGTGCTGGCCAACTTTTGGAATCTAACTGGTCCATTTTCAAAACAGAGTCCTACGGTTTCAGCAAAGTCCGGGGTCACTTCTAATTTTTTCCTTTCGTTAAGTTTTCTTGCGGCGCCCAACTAAAATTATTAAAAAAACATAATATAACGTACGATGAATTAATAGAAAATAAATTTATAATGTCTCTTTGTCCCCAAATGGTAACTTTCCCCCAAAAAAATAAATTATTTTCTAGTCTTTTTAAGATAATTATTAGCACTCCAATTTGCAGATATCTCAATATTTATTTCTTAAAGTATATACAATACTTTAAAAAAATCAAATACCTTTAAAAATAATACTGCGGTCTTCCCATATAAGCAATAAGAGAATTTATGTCCCTCCCTATCTGGGAGATGGAATTAATACAATATGCCCCATTTTCACTTTTTTACTACACACAATGGCAATTGGACATTTCGAATTCGAGAAACTATCTTTCTTCTCACAGTGCCATACTCTATATAGAGCGTCGGCTACCTCTAGCATGTACTTATGATGTGTGTCATCAGTGTTTCACAAGTACACGGGACCTACAATTTATCGCCGAATCCGAACGGCACTGTTTGAGAGGCTGTACAAGGCAAATATACTCAAGGTGGTTTGCTTGTTTGCCGTTTGCCATTGCCTTCCTTGAGGTGGCGATGGCGGCTCGTTGGTCGCTCTATTTAGATAAATAAATATTTTTATTTAACTAAATAAAGCGACCGTACTGGCTGGGGATCGAACCCAGTACCTTCCGCTCAGCAGATCGACACACTACCGCTGGAGCTACGACCGGCCACAACTATCATGTTTTTAAATTTAAATGCTGCCCTGGATTTTTAATTTAACTCATCAATGCTTCAGAACTATAAAATAAATTCAGAACCCACTATACAATTAATCTGATATTGAAAAAAAAATCCGTAAAATTAGTAAAGATCTATAAAATTGACCTAGTATTCAAATAGTATTTTAATTGTAATTATGCCAGTATTGTTCAATTGTTTACTCTTTCTCTATTTTTTTACAAAAGTATAATCAAAATAAGTTAAAACATTCTAAAAGAATTCTTAATATATTTTACGTGCACGCATACATGATTTTACCACAGTTTAGTTAATATTTGGTGATTTTACTTCAATAGGTTTTATTCCATCAAATCACTAATAGTTGTATCAAACGCCTTCTCTCGTTTTGAAATTCTTAGAATACAAATCACATAAATATATCATTTGGAAATTAGTACGTTGTTTTTCTGACTAAATAATGAAAAATAGGTTGAATAGCGCTAATGTACCGCGTTGTTGAAGATTTGGTAAATGAAGACTTGCCAACCCGATGTCTTTACATTTGAGTTCTGACCTTGGATAAGGCTCAACAGGTAGGTAGTATCTTTACCCTTGCTCTTGGCAGAAAGACTATGACGGTCGCCTCTTTATAGATGTTTTCTCCCTTTACTGCAACCAGTCCCGGCTCCTGCAAATTCTTAAGCTTAGGTTTTTGTTCTGTTTTCACCAACCAATCTGCCAATTCTTGAGATGCACAATCTATGAGGCTGCATGCCCACTCGAAAGTGTATCACCGAAAATCGCAGCTGACCCACATTTTATGGATCATTGTGTTACAATCCGTTCGCTACTACTTCGTCAGGTATCGCCTCTTCTAGAGCCATTTACTGGTCGGTGGTCAGTGCAGTCTCATGGTAATTTTACTCGCTATTTTCACTTGTCCAGCAGTAGCGGCAAAGCTAGTGATACGTCCCTGCATCTCGGTGTTGGACGGCTTTCCATAGTGGCTTTTTTCTCTCCTTGTCGGAGCAGAGATGAGAGGATCTCGCTCCCTCTCTTGCCCTTTGGTGGAGGTGCGCCAGGCTGTTTTTTGTTCCTTTACTTTCCTTTTTTTCGAGGAGTGGTTTCGCTTTAGCTTCCTCTGAAGCAAGTCCTTCGTGGAGCAGCCGCAGTTATCTCCGTACTTGTCTAGTAAGACCTACTTTCAGCGTATCGCCTAGACCGCCTCCAGGCTGGGTCGTTTGTGTCGCCTGTTGGGTGTAGAGGTAGGCTCCCGACTCTTGCTAAAGGAGGTAGTAGCTTTTATGCAACTTCTGGAGGCTGGTCTCGCGCAAGTGTCAGCCGCCTCTCAATTTCATTCATAATCTTCCCAGTGTTGGCAGGGGGTTTCCCGAGAGCTTCACCGGTGGTGTTTTTTATACTTGATGTCATGGTGTTCCCACGAGTCGTTAGGGTTAATCGGTTCCCTTCTACAGAGCCCTGCATGTAAAAGTAATGGGTAAATACAATGGGGTGCCCTCTGGTACCCCAAACGTTGAGACCAGGAGTAGTTAACATCCTCAGCCGATGATTAAAACGATGGCAACATAGTTCGCAAAACGCGCGTTCAATGTAAAAGTAACGTGTTTTCGTTTATTATGGTGAATTAGTGTTTTATCTTGCTGTTATAACAGCAAATGTTGCAACCCCCAACTGTAATCAATGTTCAGATACAAATACTATTAATTTAGATTTGTCTGTTGGACTGTCAGCGTGATGCTTGTATGCGATGATATTTATTATCCAGTTGATTCTTAATCATCTTGAATTTATTAGAACTATCATACTATGTACTTACTTTATTTACAATAGATATTGATTTCCTTCAAATCACCACTCTGTAGAATTAATTAATATAGTAAGTACTTAAAATCTAATTTGTATCTATTAACGGACTAGCAGAAGTCCATCATTAATTACAAAAAGCTAGACTGTATAGTTTATTGAACCTTACTATTTAAAAACAAACCTCATTTACCAGAATACGTCATTTTTATTTGCAGGAAATCCATGAATTAAATGAGAAAATAATGGGATATGGGAAATAAACATTTTGTAATAAAAAATGATATGCTTATTTTAAAACAAGGACATTATTATTGCGAAATACTAACTAACAGCATTACATTTTAAATTACCAAAATTCCGGAATCTGGTTGAATTCAAATTGAGCGTATCCTGTTTAAAGGTCTGAATGTAGGTGTTAATAATCCCTAACTAACCATTTGTGACGTTTGTTGTAAATAATATTGTATATGCATGTATTTCTCCTTTTAATATTTTTAGCCGACCGTACCAACAGGTATGGTAGGCTATTAAGATCGGCAAAAAAAAAGTTTTTTTAATTTCACTCAAAATGAGTTATTTGGATCATAAATGACCTAAATACAAAATATTTTCATGGTGTCTGTCTGTCCATCTGTCCGTCTGTCTGTAACCGATTTTAACCAAATTTGGCACAAAAATACTGAGGCACCCGAGAATCTGGTCATTAGTTTTTGGTTGGGGTGGGGGGTTGGAAGGGTGTATGGAAGGGGGTTAAACATCTTAAAAAACCGTAACTCCAAAATTACAGTAGCTAGCGAAACGCGGTTTTCAATTTAAGATTAGGAATAATATTTGCAACAAAATTTGTAATAACATCAAAATCAGTCAAAGTCGCAGTTTTTGAGACAAAAAAAATTGGAAAAATTCCTTTACTTTGAAACTAAAAGAACTACCTATACCAACTTTTTATTAACATATTTTAGTATGGGCGGCTATACGTGCCTCCCGACGCCAATTTTTTTCTACTTATGTTAACTAATTAATGTCTAATATGGTGTTATTTTGACAGTTTTGGGCCTTTAAATTATACTTCTCAAGTTTATACATATTATAGGAGTATAACAATTATAAATTTATTGATCACTACAAAGCCTTTTTAAAAATTGAAACTATACTAGAGGGTATTTTATTTAAATAAATACTAATAGGTTTTATTTTTTAAATAAATACTTATGGGTTCTGTTATTTAAATGTACAGAAAAATAATACAAAAAATATAATGATACACTTCTATTTTTCGTTCTTAAAATCTTTCAAATTCTGTCAAAAATAAAATTATTCCACAACGTAGATTTAGAACCGAACTAAACTGGTGAATTGTCTAGTGTCCAGATATATATATATATAGTAATTTATCCAGATATATCCACACAAGGTACGGAAGAAAAAACTACACGATATTTTTATACAAAATTTCCGATGTCAAGGTCAAGCATGCTGATGGAGCAAGTTCAAGGTTAACATATATCAAAATCAGGCTGGAACGTTTATTATTTGGGCGAGACTGGTATTCGTCTTATTAAAGAAAGTTTCGTCCGTTTTTTAGACAAATCTAATCTCAAAGGCCAAGTCCGCGGACTTGGCCTCTGACAGGCATAGTCCGCCAAAGGCTTGGCTTGGAAAAGACTTGGGTTTGTCCACGAACGGAAAGATTTCATCCGCGGGCCGGGCTTTTTCTTGTATGGGGAGCTATTAGCGTATACTAGATTTTATGCCACTAATTTGGCCTGATATAACAATAAATATCTTTCCGTAACAATAATTTTTTTCTGTCAGCTGCGGAAACACATTTTTGTGAAGAATTGTGCGGGGTGGCGTTTTTTACAAAAGATAAAAAATGCAGTGTATACCAGGAATACTATTTTATGAATAAAAAAACAGTGATGGATTGGAGTTGGAAAATATATCTACTAGAATTTATGTAGGGATGGGGTAATTTATACCAAAATATATACAAATATATATATTACGTATAAAACAACACATAGGCACCTCAAATCTCATTCAAATCGGTATATTGACTGAAACAATTTTGAAGAAACCTGCAAAGAAACAAACTAAGTCCGCTTTCATGGGTTAATTAGTAAATAAAGCATTTTATTCAGTGCAGGATTTTTTCTTAGATAGCTCATAGGCTGCTCTCGCCGTCGGAAGTGGATTTTAATTTGAATATTAAAAAAAAAATATTTGTATATTTCCAAGGTATATCTAGATTTAAGGAAATTATGTTATTTTTTCTATCCATTTAATAGCATATTATATTTTTGTTTTCTTTGTTTAGGCGGATTCCACGTTCATATGAACTTTATTTGTAATTTTTTTTTACTGGAATGAATAAACTATTATCTATCTATCTATCTATCTATCTATATTAAAAAATGTGTTTGTTTTAAATTTTGATGTCCTCTAACGGACAACCGAAGAACTTTTGTATAAAGGTA